GTTAGAGTGATGAAATGATACTCTAAAGGATTATGACATTTTAAGACTGTTTATATTGTTCTATTTATCAATGTATCATGTTTCTGGAGGGAACTCAGTTGACCATCATCTTTAGTTTGTGAATAGGGTTTACCCACCTATTATGCTACATGCATTACCTACACACCTTCTTACCCACTGCGCTCAGGGTTTTGTATTGTGTTTGTATACAAACCAAGGAAGATTACCCCTGATTTGATACATAGTTATCTTAAACTATACTACTGTGTAGTAGATGGACTTGTGAGATTTCTATGACCACATTTACATGCATACAGTATTCCGGATAATAGCTTGTATCCCACTTAAGGACTTATTTGGGATAATGCGAATGCTCCTAATGTTACTGTATCTTTGACAGTGTTATGCAAGCAGACAACCACATAAAATATGTACCCAAGATGAACTGAAGACTTATCAGAAACGTGATTCATCGTTTTCTCAGCTTTCATGTCCTTTAAAACCAGTCACACTGATACCATTTGGACATTGGTCCTGTGCAAAATCTTTCCACTGTTTTGGAGATATTGCGTTTTCTCCCCGGTCCCTAAATGAAATAGACAACTTTACCTTGTTAACTAGATTACTAATGCATTCATTCTATTGATGTGAAACATTATTCTGGTGAGCACTACTTTATTTGTAGTGTTCTGGGGCAACAAGTTATGACAGAGAAGATGCATGTATCAAACTATGGTTGACAAGTAAACCAAATGTCTAAAATGGCCTACCAAATGTTGGAAATTATAATCAGAAACCTGTCTAAATTAGGGGTGACAGTAGCCAGTAGTAAATTAATTATAGTGGGCTACATTATGGAATTATGGTTGATCGAACTGCGCAGGTAGCCTACTTTTTGAAGTGATTTGTTTGACAATCGGATGAAAACATAATCACACAACACCCATCATCTGCACAGACCGCAAAAACAACAGTAAACGGGATAAGATGTTTACATGCCACAGTATCCAGTCTTAGATCAGCATATCCCAGGCATCTTATCCCGGTTTCTCATAACCGTGGTACAGGCTTTTTCATGTTATTATAAACGGGATATGATGTTTATATGCGTCAACTTAAAAACAGAATACTTGAGTATCCCGAAAAATAATGGGATATTGGTGTGCATGCGAACGTGGTCATTGTTTCAGCGCATTGGTGCTCAGTGCCAGGTAATGCGTATCTGCTGCCCCCACCTGGTCATTTGGACACATTGCAGTCTGTCTCTGGCCATGTGGTTCTTATTGAGTAAATCTCCATTCAATCAGAACAGGCAGAGGACTGGGCTGATTGGTGATTGGGCATTTTACAACAATTTACCCTTGTTTGTGTTTTGGAGGCATTTTTATCATGTCAGTTATGTGAAAGATGGCTTCTGTGTTTGTGATAATAAGATTAGGAGTTTAATCTAATGAATAATCGAAATTACACTGGAAATAACTTACCGGTATCCTTGTGTTCAGATAACCCTGGGCTAAGAATTTGCAGTAGGGCTAAAATAAAAGAATATGACAACAATAATTTGGGAGTGGAAACATGGAACATCAGAAGTCCTATACACACCTCACATTTCATACCACATGGACACTCAACAGACGCACGCTGGCAAGCCTACACACTCCCATGTGATAGTTACACACCACCATGCACACAAGCAGACACAATATGCAGGCACACACACACGCATGCAGTGACGCACTGGATTGAGAGTTAAATGAAGATTGCACACAACTCTTTAGAATTGGAAATGTAATTTTATTGAAAGACAAGGATATTGCTGTACCATAACATGAAATTATTACCCAAAACAAACAAGTAACATTGAAAGGGCATCTCTTCCATCTAATTAAATGTGATTATTTCAGCACACTATTTAAGCAATAAGTCACGAGGGGGTGTGGTATATGGCCAGTATACCACCGCTAAGGGCTGTTCTGAGTCACGACGCAACTCGGAATGCCTGGATACAGCCGTTAGCCATGGTGTATTTTGGCCATATACCACAAACCTCTGAGGTGCCTTAATGCTATTATAAACTGGTTACCAACGTAATTAGAACAGTGAAAACAATTCATACTTTCTCGTCTTTTGTTTGCTAAAGACGCGACCCAGTCGTTAGTTCGATTAATTCTATATTTAAGGACGTATTTAAGTTGTTCATTCTATATGTTCCGTTGCCATGCTCCTGGCAACATTCTTATACCTTGCGTGCTAGCTAGCAAACTAGCTACGGCTAACAGTCACGACCTCTGCGCTGCAGCCAGAATAACAGCAAAGTAGCTGCATTTGCATTTGTTTAAGCTGTTTTCTATTGATATTAATTTGGTACATGCATAACAATGAGCTGATGAGGCCCAATTTTGTCTGGCATAGTGCCTTCTTGTCGAGGTTCCGTTGCCATGCTCGCTGCCAACGTTCTTATCCCTTGCTTGTGAGCCAGCTAGCTACGGCTAACACAGTCCCGACCTCTGCAGCCAGAATAACAGCAAGTTATCTGTTTTCTATGGACATTAATTTGGATACATCCATAACAATGAGCGGAGAATGCCAGATTTAGCCTGGCATAGCTAGAAAGGTTTGCCTTCTCGTCAGGGCACTCGTCAACACTGACTGTTAATGACGAGGAGATCGCATTGCATATCAAACACACTAGGCTAGAAGCTAGCTAAATAGTTTGTTGCTAGCAAACCTACCAATATGGCAACCGAATAAAAAAATATACGTTATTGAAAAACAGCTGGTCAAACTAGAAACGTGCGAAGATTTGACAGCATTGAGCGTCATGACTGCAATGAGGACCGGAGAAATTCATGTTCATCACTCACCATGTCAGGTCATCAGATGCTCCAAAATAAGAAGTCTCTGCAAAAACAAATCAATGCTGGAAGTTTTTCCTTGTTGAACCTGCGTTTACAATGTATTCCATTTCAATTTGTGTGGTTGTTGGTTTAGCTTTCTGTAACTTGTAAAGCCTAAATCAGCTGGAGACCTCTGAGACAGCCAGACACCCATCCTCTTTAGAGATTGAACATTGTGATTTAACTCTCGGAATTCAGAGAATTGCCAGGAGACCATGATATATCCACCACAGCATATACTGTAGCTACCACTATTCCCATGGCCTAGCAAGCTGCTCTGTAAGAAGCCCCAAAGCTGGGATAATTAAGATCCAATGCTAGCTATTTTTCGTTACGTCATGATGTCTATGTAATTCCCCAAGCTCAATACAATATCACCCCCACAAATAAAATAATAATGGGAAAGACGATTCGCCATAGATAAAGAAGGGAATAGAACTGCGTGAGTGGATTGGATGTGTGTGTGTGGACGCGGGTGTGTGCAGGGTGCCCCGAGTGTGCCTCGGACTGAATTGACTGACTCATTTCGGCCAAGCTGGTGAACCAGACAGGTAGAGATTGATCCACTTCCTTTTTTTTCATATTTATTCATGTTTTTTATTTCACAGTTGATCCAATTCCAACTGGACAACTAAGTGCTGCCTGGAGTCCATTTCTACCCCTCTGCTTCAATGACATCATGAGATGTCTTTTCTTTTTCTTTTTTACTATGTGGGTTGGTCGCTGTGACTTGTTGGGACCAAGTGACCATCTAGCATGGGGTTTGTTGTTATGAAGAACACCTCCCCAAGTGCTTGTCTGTTTGGATATTTTACCATCTTTGGTTGGTAGGAACAATTGTTTCAAAATGTTTTACAGTGTTATGGATTGTGCGCAAAGTGGATGTGTCCTTGAACTGTGGATGTGTCCATTAAACCCCTACAACTCATCCAGAATGCCGCAGCCCGTCTGGTGTTCAACCTTCCCAAGTTCTCTCACGTCACCCCGCTCCTCCGCACACTCCACTGGCTTCCAGTTGAAGCTCGCATCTGCTACAAGACCATGGTGCTTGCCTACGGAGCTGTGAGGGGAACGGCACCTCCGTACCTTCAGGCTCTGATCAGTCCCTACACCCAAACGAGGGCACTGCGTTCATCCACCTCTGGCCTGCTGGCTCCCCTACCTCTGCGGAAGCATAGTTCCCGCTCAGCCCAGTCAAAACTGTTCGCTGCCCTGGCACCCCAATGGTGGAACAAGCTCCCTCACGACGCCAGGACAGCGGAGTCACTCACCACCTTCCGGAGACATTTGAAACCCCACCTCTTTAAGGAATACCTGGGATAGGATAAAGTAATCCTTCTACCCCCCCCTTACTCCAACCCCCCCCCCCCCCCCCCCCCCCCCACTGGCTATGTAAGTCGAGCGTCTGCTAAATGACGTAAATGTAAAATGTAAATGTGGTTGGCAAGCCTGTGATGGCTTATTATTGGTTCCAATAGCTCTGGAAAATAAAGAGTCAAATAATTATTTTGTCCATACTAAGCATTGTCATTTTTTGTTTTCATAGCTGTTTTTTTACAGTATGAGGGATCTCATGAGGTAGATTTCTTGAAGGGTGACACATTTTGCACTGACAATCAAATTAAATGTGGCTTGTCAACATTTTGACTTGGGTAAGTGTCAGTCTTGTTTTTGTGTTTTGATATGAATGTGGACTGTAAATGTGATTGATGCCTCTATGTCCACCTATAATAGGTCTACGAGAAGACGTTTTGATATGACATGTTTTAAGTGCTTGTCAACAAGCCACAATAGCTACAGCTTTTCCTTATCAAAACGTATATATTTTATCTTGATATACTACAAAAATAGACTCAAAAAACATGCTTGCAGTGTGTGAAACAAAAGCTTGACTGGTTATCAATTTAAACACAGCTTGGGAAAAGCATCTCTTATTGTTCAGTGCATTTTTTCCTTTCTGCCAGAAACACTCAACTGCTTTTAATTGAATAAAGCCCCTGTGTTTTGCAATCTATTAAGCCAGATAGTCACTACCACACTCGGACAGGTTCCTTAAGTAAGTACTCTGTTTTCCCCCTCCTCCTCCCAATGTCCATCCTCCAGGTGTGCTGGCCCAGATCCAGACGCCCCAGAGGATCATGGAGGTGATTGAAGGTCAGAAGGTGGTGCTGCAGGCCTGGTACAGTCCCAGCTTCAGCATTAGCAAGAACACCGTCCTCTGGAACTTTGTAGCCAATAACTCCCTACTGGTGAGTGTTTGGGATCTGTTTTGTTCTATGTGTGGTGGCCTTTAGCATCTGTGCTGATCATCTGACGATTTAGGGTCGCCCTTGAGACACGCACAGTAACTTGAACTTTCGCACCAAACATTAAGGCAATGGCATATTTGCGCAAAGTTAGTTTGTGCGTCTTAAGTTGGGATGTGTGAAGATCCCTTTGATCATGCAGTGGTCATGATTAGCCTGTGGCTGCTGAGTTCTGTGACATCATAAGTCTACAATATAATGTCCCAGAGGCCAGTAAGGTACCTGCATTAGTGCTGCATACCAGTTAAATACTTCCTTGTCAGAAGTATTTTATACATGGAAGTTTATTTTTTGTAAAAATGAATCAAATCTGTATTATTTTTTTAAGTCAACTTAAAATGATGAATGTATTACATTTTGTTAGGGTTTAATTTCATGTTTAACTCAGACTTGTGATAATTATAATTTGTCTGTTGATTATTACAGATATGTTTGCTCTTTTGTGCAGTTTTTGATCAAAAGCTCCCAACTACAACTGAAAATCTTACTTGCTTAGCCATCTGTGGCCGTAACGTGGGGATTATTCTCATGAAGGATGTTGACTGCTGTTAATCTGGCAAAGCTCTTCCTTTGGAAACACTCAGAAATGAATCAAATAAAAGGCTTAGCACTCCATCTATACAATATATTTTACCCGTAACATTTCAGAAAATTAGGCTATCAAGTGATATGACTAACCACTTGACAGAGTTTCTATTTTGGGGTTAGGTTGGGGTTAACCCTTTACAAAACCAAAACAAATTTTGGCGGAAGCGGGCAGTTGGCCATAAGGCTCTCATCTGACTTTGATTTTCAAACTTGCATCCACAGACAACACTATGTAGGGACCTGCATGGGCTTGTATTTGCTTATTCCATATTGTTTTACAGTAGTATACAGATGGACCAAGTCCCAAAGGGGATAAAACAAAGACAAAAAAAATCCTGTTTGAGTCTAGTAGTTACCATTCCACTACAGTAGCACTCACCAGTAGTAGATTGGGATATTGCAGTTATTGGCCTGAACAGAGCAAGCTGCTTTGGCTAAAGGCCCAGTCATGGAACGGTAGTCGGATTTAACTACAGAATGTCTGAGTTGTGCGCCTTTATCTCAACTCTGAATCGGCCTGTTAGTCTTTAGCTCGAAAGGATAATTCTGTCTTGCTTGTTTGCATAAAGATCTATATGATTTGAAAGACAATGTGGTTTTATCTTCTAATGTCTTTGTCATATTTTAAAGTACTCTACTTCTATTCATACTCCAATGCACTCAATATTGCCTTGTCATGGCTCTATTAAGAACATAACATTAGCTAAGAGAACAGCTTAGTAATGGTAGACTACATGGTGTAAAATAAAGAAAAGGCAAAAGGATATTCTAGGGAGCTTTTCAACAATCTTCATGGCTCTTGTCCCCTCCATCCAACCCACACAGATAATCTCCTACACCCCAGACTCGATCAGTTTAGGCAGCCCGCAGTTTGGGGAGCGCGTAGGCTTCACAGCCACCATGCCCTCGGCCAACCTGTCTCTGTACATCAACAACACGCAGGAGTCGGACTCAGGACGCTACTTCTGCCAGGTCATCATCCCCGGGGCCCATGGCCTGACCGGAGAACTTACCCTCAACGTCATTGGTAAGGACGAGGAGACCCCTTATGTAGTTATTGTAGTCATGCAGTACGCCATATGTGTATTCTTATGAGCTGTACATGTAGAATGAGGCACGCATGTACATATACAGTGCCATCAGAAAGTATTCATACCCCTTATTCAAAATGTTGTTAGAGCCTGAATTCTAAATGGATTAAATTGATTGCCTTCTCTCACCCATCTACACACAATACCCCAAAATGACAATGTGAAAACCATGTTTTTAGAAATGTTTGCTAATTTATTGAAAGTGAAATACAGAAATCGAATTTCCATAAGTATTCACATCCCTTTGCTATGACACTCCAAATTGAGCTCGGGTGCATCCAATTTCCTTTGATCATCCTTGACGTCACTACAACTTGATTGGAGTCCATCTGTGGCCAATTCAATAGTTTGGACATGATTTTGAAATATACACACCTGTCTACAGTATATAATGTCCCACAGTTGACAGTGTAAGTCAGAGCAGAAACTATACCATGAAGTCCAGGGAACTGTCCATAGATCTCAGAGATAGAATTGTGATGAGGCATATATCTGGGGAAGGATATAAAACAATTTCTAGAGTGTTGAAAGTTTCCAAAGGCACAGTGGTCTCCATGATTTTTAAGTAATTAATTTGCATTTTATTGCATGACAGAAGTATTTGATACATCAGAAAAGCAGAACTTCATATTTGGTGCAGAAACCTTTGCTTGCAATTACAGAGATCATACGTTTCCTGTAGGTCTTGACCAGGTTTGCACACACTGCAGCAGGGATTTTGGCCCACTCTTCCATACAAACCTTCTCCAAATCCTTCAGGTTTCGGGGCTGTCGCTGGGCAATACGGACTTTCAGCTCCCTCCAAAGATTTTCTATTGGCTAGGCCACTCCAGGACCTTGAGATGCTTCTTACGGAGCCACTCCTTAGTTGCCCTGGCTGTGTGTTTCGGGTCATTGTCATGCTGGAAGACCCAGCCACGACCCATCTTCAATGCTCTTACTGAGGGAAGGAGGTTGTTGGCCAAGATCTCGCGATACATGGCCCCATCCATCCTCCCCTCAATACGGTGCAGTCGTCCTGTCCCCTTTGCAGAAAGCATCCCCAAAGAATGATGTTTCCACCTCCATGCTTCACGGTTGGGATTGTGTTCTTGGGGTTGTACTCATCCTCCTTCTTCCTCCAAACACGGCGAGTGGAGTTTAGTCCAAAGAGCTCTATTTTTGTCTCATCAGACCACATGACCTTCTCCCATTCCTCCTCTGGATCATCCAGATGGTCATTGGCAAACTTCAGACGGGCCTGGACATGCGCTGGCTTGAGCAGGGGGACCTTACGTGCGCTGCAGGATTTTTATCCATGACGGTGTAGTGTGTTACTAATGGTTTTCTTTGAGACTGTGGTCCCAGCTCTCTTCAGGTCATTGACCAGGTCCTGCCGTGTAGTTCTGGGCTGATCCCTCACCTTTCTCATGATCATTGATGCCCCACAAGGTGAGATCTTGCATGGAGCCCCAGACCGAGGGTGATTGACCGTCATCTTAAACTTCTTCCATTTTCTAATAATTGCGCCAACAGTTGTTGCCTTCTCACCAAGCTGCTTGCCTATTGTCCTGTAGCCCATCCCAGCCTTGTGCAGGTCTACAATTGTATCCCTGATGTCCTTACACAGCTCTCTGGTCTTGGCCATTGTGGAGAGGTTGGAGTCTGTTTGATTGAGTGTGTGTGCAGGTGTCTTTTATACAGGTAACGAGTTCAAACAGGTGCAGTTAATACAGGTAATGAGTGGAGAACAGGAGGGCTTCTTAAAGAAAAACTAACAGGTCTGTGAGAGCCGGAATTCTTACTGGTTGGTAGGTGATCAAATACTTATGTCATGCAATAAAATGCAAATTAATTACTTAAAAATCATACAATGTGATTTTCTGGATTTTTGTTTTAAAAAATTACAGACCTCTACATGCTTTGTAAGTAGGAAAACCTGCAAAATCGGCAGTGTATCAAATACTTGTTCTCCCCACTGTGTGTATATATATATATATATATATATATATATATATATATATATAAACAAACTACCCAGACTCTGTCTGGTGCTGGCCGTCCAACCAAACTGAGCAACCGGGCAAGAAGAACCTTGGTTAGGGAGGTGACCAAGAGCCCAATGACCACTCTGACAGAACTACAGAGTTCCTAGGCTGAGATGGGAGAACCTGCTAGAAGGACAACAGTCTCTGCAGCACTTCACCAATCTGTGGCTTTATGGGAGAGTGGCCAGACGGAAGCCTCTCGTGAGAAAAAGGCACATGACAGCACATCGGGAGTTTGCAAAAGGCATGTGAAAGACACTGAGCATAAGGCAAAAGATGATGTCGTCTGATGAGACAGAAATTGAACTCTTTGGCCTGAATGCAAATGGCTATGTCTGGAGAAAACCAGGCACAGCTCATCACCCGTCTAACACCATCCCTACCGGGATGCATGGTGGTGGCAGCATCATGCTATGGGGATGCTTTTCAGCGGCAGGGACTGGGAGACTGGTAAGGATAGAGGGAACAATGAACGGAGGCAAATACAGGCAAATCCTTTTATTTATGAGAACCTGCTTCAGAGTGTCCTTCTGGCAGGACCTTAGACTGGGGTGAATATTGACATTCCATCAGGACAATGACCTCAAGCATACAGCCAAAGCAACGCTGGAATGGCTTCAGAACAAGAATGTGAAAGTCCTCGAGTGGCCCAGACAATGCCCAGACTTGAATCCCATTGAAAATCTGAGGAAGACTTGAAGATTGTTGTTCCATCTAACTTAACAGAGCTTGAGAAAATCTGCAAGGAAGAATGGGAGAAAATCCCAAAATCCAGATGTGCAATGCTGATACAGACATACCCAAGACGATTCAAAGCTGTAATCGCCGCCAAAGGTACTTCTACAAGGTATTGACTCAGGGGTGTGAATACCTATCTAAATGAGATATTTCTCTATTTAATTTTCAATAAATTAGCTAAATTGTATCAATTTTGAATTCTGGCTGTAACACAACATGTGGAATAAGTCAAGGGGTATGAATACTTTCTGAAAGCACTGTATATGATCAAACGCTAACAAGAAGGCACACACACACAAACATATACACACACTTACAGATGTGCTCTACTTGCACATATACCCGCATACAGTACATGCGCACCCACATACCTGTACACACATGTTCCTGTATGTATCTTAACACAATAGTTACGCTGTTTGCCACTACCCTAAATCCTAAACATTATTTTATCTATCATTATTCAAATGACTCTAATTTAGCATCTCATCACAAATGTTCAACTAACCATCTCCCAAACCTCTATCCTATATCTCAGTCCCTCCTGCTGTCCCAGAGTGCTCTCTGTCGGGGAAGCCAGTTCTGAAAGGCAACGTCACGCTGAGCTGCAAGTCCAAGTCAGGCAAGCCCATCCCCATGTACAAGTGGCATAAGACCAGCCCCACGTCTGAAGTCTTCTTCTCTCCCATGCTCAGTGAGTAACTAACTGCAGTCTGACATCTGAAACATGGCGGTCAAGCTTTAGTAACCAACATCATAAGCAAAACCTTTTGGTTACTCAGATATACAGTGTATTTATTGTAAATGTCCTGTATTTCAGGGAGAGCTTGCTTTCTTTCTGAAATTTGATAACTTTGAACTTTGAGAGTACTGTAATAGAATGTTGTTCAGCCAAGTTGTTGTACACACGTAATGTGAGTTGCTCTGGATAAGAAATGTGTACAGTATGTACCATAAGCAAACGTAATGACAAAGCAGAGGGTATAATTTAATGACAAAGCAGAGGGTTTAATTTAATGACAAAGCAGAGGGTATAATTTTGACAATGGCAAAGGGATTTAAAAAAGTTACATGTGAATTGAGGCAATCAGTAGACAATCAGGTCTCACTTTACATTAAGTGTCCTAAAGTTACAGGTACTATGTATTGTGTAACTACACAACCAACCGGGTAGAATGGTTGTGAGTGTGTTGTATCAATCTGTACTTAGTAATACACTATACATACGTATGTGGCTACCATGTATCTATGTGGATTTAAGGACACTTAATGTGAAATGGAACAGGCAATCAAAAGGATTGTGCATAAACAAATCGGAGTTTCAGTTGGCATATCTGTGACATTGTTCTGTTTTTGTTTTGACTTGGAGATTTAGGGGCTAATCTGTTTGGGACTAGATTAAAGCACACATGAGGTTGAATCCTAATGTGACTCTGCTCAAATCACACAAAAAATCACAAACCCATAATCAGTGTTCCCATACTATTTCCTCTCATTTATGGAGTGCAAGAATTGGATAAGTATCCCACATTGTTTGGTAAAAAAAAAAAAATCTGGTTAGTAGTGATTTAATGATAAGGAAAAAGCGCATATGATCAATGCACAGTGTCCATATAAGGACAGCCGCAGTAATGACAGGACTGACAATGCTGTCCTAATATGGACACTGTATGGGTGTCAGTGGAGGCTCCTAGGAGGAGGAAGGGGAGGACCATCCTCCTCACTTTCACTTACTTAGCTAGCGAATGAAGCTAGCTAGTTTAGCCTACTCAAACACCCGGCTCAAACCGAGAGGGATGCTATGTTAGCTAGCTGGTTATGGCTATCCAACACTGGAACTCTTCCAAGTCAAGGTAAGCTTTTGGTTTTATTAATTTATTGCTTCGAGGCCCGCCTGTGTAACTGCTTGCTGCTGACTGTACACTGTACTGCATAATTGTATGTGGTTTACTAGCACATTAGTTCTAATAGCTATGTTAACTGACGTTAATATGGTGACAACTATGTAGGCTGTTTGTAGCGGTTATGATATGAAGGTTTGGCTTGGAAACTTTCTTTTCGCCCTCGTCACAGAAAGCTGATGTGTTGTGCACTGATGTTCACAAGCGAAGGGAAAAGGTGAGCGAAGGAGAGCGAGTAGATGCGAGAAGGAATACAATGATGAAAGGGATCATGCTGTTATGTGGCTGCTATGAAAGTGAACTATATTTGCATGTGATCAGGAATGTATTCATTCCGATGATTCTGTTGAAAAAGGTTTCTTAAGCAGACCGAAACGGGGATAAACATACCTGAATTTGTCCAATAGACAATCTCATTTGCACACCCTAGATCAGCTAAATGCAGGCGTGTGCAAGGTGATATTGAATGTGTCAATGTCTGTCACCTTGATTGCTCAAATGTACCTTGACCTGTGCACCTACCTACGTTGTAAACTTTCATTCATAGGCTAGGTTGTAGCAACCTCATGATAGGTATAGGGAACATTAGAGTATCATGTAGTAGCCTAAACCTATCGATATTACATTGAGCTGGGTGAATGGAATATGAATGACAGTCATCCAATATGCTGTAATAGAAATAAGGCCATGCTTATAAAAATAAAAATAGTCCTCCCTCATCTTAAATGGCACGACCACCACTGATGGGTGTGTGTCTGTGTGTGTTACAGATGAGAAGACAGGCACCCTGAAGCTGAGCAACCTGAGCAGCAACATGTCGGGGAAGTACATGTGTTCGGCCAGCAACACGGCCGGCACAGAGCGATGCTACATCAACCTGGAGGTCATCACCTGTACGTACTGTTATAGTACAACACTGGACACACAAGACTCACTATACGCTATGTGGGCCAGTCAGAATGTAGAGAAATGTGCTTCTTAAAACAGTTAACTCCTGGTACGTGAAATGGCTTTGAAAACCAGAGCATGTAGATACCAGAGCAAGTAATTAAGAAATGCATTTTAATTGGGACTGATGCACTGCCCTTCACTTAAATTGAGTTTTCCTTCATCTAATGTGCACCAAAAAATAATAATTGTAATGCACATTTACCGTTTTTAGATATTGTGTGTGTGTGTGTGTGTGTGTGTGTGTGTGTGTGTGTGTGCGTGTGCGCGTGCGCACTACCAGTCAAAAGTTTTAGAACACCTACTCATTGAAGGGTTTGACTTTATTTGTACTATTTTCTACATTGTAGAATAATAGTGACGACATCAAAACTATGAAATAACACATGGAATCATGTAGTAACCAGAAAATGGTTAAACAAATCAAAATATATTTTATATTTGAGATTCTTCAAATAGCCACCCTTTGCCTTGATGACAGCTTTGCACACTCTTGGCATTCTCTCAACCAGCTAAAGTCACCTGGATTGCATTTCAATTAACAGGTGTGCCTTGTTAAAAGTTAATTTGTGGAATTTCTTTCCTTCTTAATGAGTTTGAGCCAATCAGTTGTGTTGTGACAAGGTAGGGGAGGTAAACAGAAGATAGCCCTATTTGGTAAAAGACCAAGTCCATATTATGGCAAGAACAGCTCAAATAAGCAAAGAGAAACAACAGTCCATCATTACTTTAAGACATGAAGGTCAGTCAATACGTACATTTTCAAGAACTTTGAAAGTGCAGTCACAAAAACCATCAAGCGCTATGATGAAGCTGGCTCTCATGAGGACCGCCACAGGAATGGAAGACCCAGAATTACCTCTGCTGCAGAGGATAAGTTCATTAGAGTCACCAGCCTCAGAAATTGCAGCCCAAATAAATGCTTCACAAAGTTCAAGTAACAGACACATCTCAACATCAACTGTTCAGAGGAATCAGGCCTTCATGGTCGATTGCTGCAAAGTAACCACTACTAAAGTACACCAATAAGAAGACAAGACTTGCTTGGGCCAAGAAACATGAGCAATGGACATTAGACTGGTTGAAATTTGTCCTTTGGTCTGGAGTCCAAATTTTAGATTTTTGGTTCCAACCGCTGTGTCTTTGTGAGACGCGGTGTGGGTGAACGGATGATCTCCGCATGTGTATTTCCCACCGTAAAGAATGGAGGAGGTGGTGTTATGGTGTGGGGGTGCTTTGCTGGTGACACTGTCTGTGATTTATTTAGAATTCAAGGCACACTTAACTACCATGGCTACCACAGCATTCTGCAGCGATACACCATCCATCCCATCTGGTTTGGGCTAAGTGGGACTATCATTTGTTTCTCAAGTGAGTGATGGAGTGCTGCATTAGATGACCTGGCCTCCCCAATCCCCCGACCTCAATCAAATTGAGATGGTTTGGGATGAGTCGGATCGCAGAGTGAAGGAAACGCAGCCAACAAGTGCTCAGCATATGGGGGAACTCCTTCAAGACGGTTGGAAAAGCATTACAGGTGAAGCTGGTTGAGAGAATGCCAAGAGTTTGCGGAGCTGTCATCAAGGCAAAGGGTGGCTATTTGAAGAATCTGAAATGTAAAATATATTTTGATTTGTTTAACACTTTTTTGGTTACTACATGATTCCATATGTGTTATTTCATAGTTTTGATGTATTCACTATTATTCTACAGTGCATTCGGAAAGTATTCAGACCCCTTCCCTTTTTCCACATTTTGTTATGTTACAGCGTTATTCTAAAATAGATTGAATTATAAAAAATTTCTCATCAATCTTCACACAATACCCCATAATGACAAAGCAAAAACAGGTTTTAGAAATGTTTGAAAATGTATTACAAATAAAAAACTGATATCTAATTTACATACACTACCGTTCAAAAGTTTGGGGTCCCTTAGAAATGTCCTTGTTTTCGAAAGAAAAGTAGCATCAAATGGATCAGAAATACAGTGTAGACATTGTTAATGTTGTAAATCGCTATTGTAGCTGGAAACGGCTGATTTTTTATGGAATATCTACATAGGCGTACAGAGGTCCATTATCAGCAACCATCAGTCCTGTTCCAATGGCACGTTGTGTTTGCTAATCATTTTAAAAGGCATGGCTTGGTTTTTGCTCTGACATGCACTGTCAACTGTGGGACCTTCATATAGACAGGTGTGTGCCTTTCCAAATCATGTCCAATCAATTGAATTAACCATAGGTGGACTCCAATCAAGTTGTAGAAACATCTCAAGGATGATCAATGGAAACAGGATGCACCTGAGCTCAATTTCTAGTCTCATTGCGAAGGGTCTGAATACTCAAAGTTTCTGGGAGACTACAGTATAAAATATATAGGACAAAAAATGCAATTAAGCTTCTTTAAAGGAAACATCAATAGAAAATGGACATTGGTTGGTGCTGCTCTGTTAATTCATTGACATTTAATTTAGAGGTTTAATTGTCTTTTTTGTCTGTACGCTATCTTTACACTGCCACAAAGAAGACAGAGCTCTGCCTAGTCATTTAAAAACACTTAACGGTCACAGGCTGCTGTACTTTTACTGTTGGGTTAAGAGAGCTGGGTATCGAGTGAATGTAAGAACAAAATTAATGTACAAAAACATGCTGCTGCTGTAGTTTTATTATCGTTCGGACCGCAAAGGGTAAACTACTACAGCGTCTAAACAGTGTATTTTATTTAATTTCCCCTGGAGAGTGAAGGTACTATACCACAGATCTGTAGTGCAAGTGTGTTAATGTTGTGTGTATGTGCGTTTCCCCAGCGACCAACACGGGGATGATTGCTGGGGCCACGGTGGGCTCTGTGCTGGGCTTAATCTTCATCATCCTCTTCCTCGTTTGTCTTCTGAGGAGAAGGAGAGACTCTGAGGATGACCTGGCCAATGACATCAAGTTAGACTCACCTTCACTATTGCTGTGTGTGTGTGTGTGTGTGTGTGTGTGTGTGTGTGTTAATTGTGATTGATGTGCACATATTTGTATACGATACAAAGAACATACCGTATGTATACTGTTGTATACCTGTGACATGAAGGTGTGCGTGTGCCATATGGATGTCAGCCAGTCTCTCACCCCTTCTTGCCCTCCTCTCCACCCCTAGGGAGGACGCTCAGGCGCCCAGCCGCGTCTCGTGGGCAAAAAGCGGCGGCTCCGGCTCGGACGTAGTCTCCAAAAGCGGCACACTCTCCTCCATCACCACCACCAACAGGCCCCACCAGAGGGAGCCCCCATCCCAGCACCACCTCCAGCAGTATCCCCAGCACCCTCCCTCCGACACCGCCTCCATCATCACTGCCACAGGCAGCGTCTCTGGCTACCGCCTCGGGACGCGTCATGGAGCCTCCACACCCACCCATGGCCACGCCCTGCCAGGCTACGGCTTCAACACTACTACAATCCTGCCCCGCGGTCAACCGGCTAATTCTGCAGCACCCAGTGCCAATGGTAGCCCCAGAACACAGCACCCACAGACCTATACCCAGCCCCAGGCAGTGCCTCCGGCCCCGCGCCCGCCACCTCTGCCCACTGCCGTGACCGCGTCCAACATCTCCCGCATGGGAGGGGTTCCCATCATGGTGCCAGCTCAGAACCAGGCCGGCTCGCTGGTGTAGCACCAGTCTGTCATGTTGCAGTGTCCCTTTACCCTTCAACTGTACTTACTCACATAGATTTTAAAAAGGAAAAAGAGCATTAACACTTGAATTGGCCTTCGAAGGTGGAGCATTTGACCCGCTCAAAATGCAGTGAGATCATTGGTAAGACCTTAAAAGAGACTGACTGTGTTGCTACACAAGGCAATTTTATTTAATGAAGTATACGGAAGTACATTTTATTTAAATGCTTTTTATACTCATTATGTATACAAAATATGTATCTGGATTTCATACATTTGTGCGGTATTTAGTTTTTTTTTTATTGTACATTCAATCAGTGTATTTTTTACTTCGTTTTCCAATGCAACTATTTTCAAGTCATCGGTTTTTCTCTGACAAGATTGTATTCACTCGATCTACCACGTCCTATCAAGGCCATTGTATGATGTCACTTTGAAAACGGGGACTTGACAAGATCTCATGACGCATGGCACACACTGATGTGCAGCAAGAACAGTTAATGCGTAGATCCCCCGATTTTACTTCTTCGTGCATTCCTGCAGATAGATATGACGACTAGATTATGAAGGACCAAATTAGTTTGAAGAACAGCATGTTATTCATTTTATTATATCTATTTTAACTTCTCAAATGAGTATATTAGTGTAAAAATATGGTGGACTACTGCTGAATACCTGCCTAGCATCATGCAGTTAAGAGAATAAAATGACAGGGCATACTAGATTGAACATTTGCTACTACATTTTCTAAATGTAAAGTACACTTTTTGCCTTTTCATGTTCCTTGTATCAAACTTCATGCCAATTCTCTTTAGACACAGCGCTTAAAACGTAGCTATTTTACCGCATAGGAATATCTTCTCATATATTATATAAAATACAATTTGACACATTTTGTCAATTTCATGGAATTTAGCGGGTAAGAAAGTGGTTATATGGTTACACAATTGAGCTGTAATGATTTTGGGTCACTCTCTGCAAGGAAATTGTAAATAAGATATTTATTTTGCTTTCAATTGTATTTGAGGCTATTCGTTGACACTTGTGACTGACTGGATACAAAAGCAAATAGTTTCTACTTGTCAACATCCCAAGCTGACGACAAGTGTATTGATGGATATAGACCCAAAAGGCGTCAAATCAAATGAGTAAGATGAGGCACTTGTTTGAAACAAGGCATAAAAGAGAGTACTTAGGGGAGTGGGGTAAATTGAGCAGTTTGTTTACATTCAGCATCACTCCGTCAAAGGAAATATGGTATTCTTTCTAACAAAGATGTCTACATATACAGTGAGGGAAAAAAGTATTTGATCCCCTGCTGATTTTGTAAGTTTGCCCACTGACAAAGACATGATCAGTCTATAATTTCAATGGTAGGTTTATTTGAACAGTGAGAGACAGAATAACAACAACAAAATCCAGAAAAATGCATGTCAAAAATGTTATAAATTGATTTGCATTTTAATGAGGGAAATAAGTATTTGACCCCTCTGCAAAACATGACTTAGTACTTGGTGGCAAAACCCTTGTTGGCAATCACAGAGGTCAGACGTTTCTTGTAGTTGGCCACCAGGTTTGCACACATCTCAGGAGGCATTTTGTTCCACTCCTCTTTGCAGATCTTCTCCAAGTCATTAAGGTTTCGAGGTTTACGTTTGGCAACTCAAACCTTCAGCTCCCTCCACAGATTTTCTACGGGATTAAGGTCTGGAGACTGGCTAGGCCACTCCAGGACCTTAATGTGCTTCTTCTTGAGCCACTCCTTTGTTGCCTTGGCCGTGTGTTTTGGGTCATTGTCATGCTGGAATACCCATCCACGACCCATTTTGTCATGCGTCTGGTTGTAGCGGTAGGATGGAATCAGGCGCAGGACACAGAACTATAATAACGAAGTTCTTTACTGGAACAACAATAGCAGAGCAAATCCTCCACGCAGGGAAGAGCAAATACCGGCTCACCAAAAGACAGCAAAACAACGAACAATCACGCACAACACAATGAGGGAACCAGAGGGTAAAATAGGGAACGAAATTAACATAATGGGTAACAGGTGTGCTCGTGTGCTCAATACAGACAAGACAAGTGTAACACAGAAAACATCGATCGGTGGCAGCTAGTACTCCGGTGACGACGAACGCCAAAGCCTGCCCGAGCAAGGAGGAGGGGCAGCCTCGGCTGAATTCGTAACAGTACCCCCCCCCCCCCCCCCTTGACGCGCGGCTCCAGCCGTGCGCCGGCACTGGCCTCGGGGACGGCCAGGAGGACGCGGAGCAGGGTGAGTCGGATGACGACGATGGAACTCCCTCAACAGGGAGGGATCGAGGATGTCCCTCCTGGGAACCCAGCTCCGAGATACTGCAGACCCCCCACCCGACGCCTCAAATCCAGAATGGAACGGACCGAGTATGCCGGTGCCCCCTCGATGTCCAATGGGGGCGGAGGAACCTCCCGCACCTCAGACTCCTGGAGCGGACCAGCTACCACTGGCCGGAGGAGAGACACATGGAACGAGGGGTTAATACGGTAATCAGGGGGGAGCTGTAACCTATAACAAACCTTGTTCAACCTCCTCAAGACTTTAAAGGGCCCCACAAACCGCCGACCCAGCTTCCGGCAGGGCAGGCGAAGGGGCAGGTTTCAGGTCGAGAGCCAGACCCGGTCCCCCGGTGCATACACCGGAGCCTCACTGCGGTGGCGGTCGGCACTCGCCTTCTGACGCCTGGTAGCCCTTTGCAGGCGTACGTGGGCAGCGTCCCAGGACTCCTCCGAGCGCCGAAACCATTTATCCACCGCAGGTGCCTCGATCTGGCTCTGATGCCACGGTGCCAGGACCGGCTGATAACCTAATACACACTGAAAGGGAGACCGGTCAGTGGAGGAGTGGTGGAGGGAATTTTGTGACATCTCTGCCCAGGGGATGTAAACTGACCAATCCCCCAGCCGGTCCTTGTAATATGACCTCAGAAACCTACCCACATCCTGGTTTACTCTCTCCACCTGCCCATTACTCTCGGGGTGAAACCCTGAGGTCAGGCTGATCGAGACCCCCATATGGTCCATGAACGCCTTCCAGACCCTTGATGTGAACTGGGGACCCTGATCAGACACTATATCCTCAGGTACCCCGTAGTGCCCGGAAGACGTGTGTAAACAGGGCCTCCGCAGTCTGTAGGGCTGTAGGGAGACCGGGCAAAGGAATGAGACGACAGGACTTAAAACCGATCCACAACGACTAGGATCGTGGTATTCCCTTGCGACGGGGGCAGGTCCATAACAAAGTCCACCGATAGGTGTGACCACAGCCATTGTGGAACGGGGAGAGGTTGTAATTTCCCTCTGGGCAGGTGTCTAGGTGCCTTGCACTGGGCGCACACCAAACAGGAGGAAACATAAACCCTCACGTCCTGAGCTAAGGTAGGCCACCAGTACTTCCCACTAAGACAGCGCACTGTCCGACCGATGCCAGGATGACCAGAAGAGGGTGACGTGTGAGCCCAATAGATCAATAAATCGCGAACATCAGACGGAACGTACACACGACCCACTGGACACTGGGGGGGTAGTGGGCTCCGTGCGTAACGCCCGCTTGATGTCCGCGTCAACCTCCCATACCACCGGTGCCACCAGACAAGAAGCCGGAAGTATGGGAGTGGGCTCCCTGGACCGCTCCTCTGTGTCATACAACCGGGACAGAGCGTCTGCCTTAGCATTCTGGGAACCTGGTCTGTAGGATAGGGTGAAATCAAAACGCGTGAAAACCATGGCCCACCTTGCCTGTTGAGGGTTCATTCTCCTCGCCGCCCGTATGTACTCCAAGTTGCAGTGGTCAGTCAAAATGAGAAAAGGGTGTTTTGCCCCCTCAAGCCAATGTATCCACGCCTTTAGAGCCTTCACAACAGCTAACAGCTCCCGGTCCCCCACATCATAGTTTTGCTCCGCCGGGCTGAGTTTCTTTGAGAAGAAAGCACAGGGGCGGAGCTTTGTGGGCGTACCCGAGCGCTGAGACAGTACAGCTCCTATCCCAGCCTCGGACGCGTCCACCTCGACTATGAATGCCAAGGAGGGATCCGGATGAGCCAGCACAGGAGCCGAAGTGAACAGTGCCTTCAGGTGACCAAAAGCCCTGTCCGCCTCCACTGACCACCGCAGGCGCACCGGTCCCCCCTTCAGCAAGGAGGTAATGGGAGCTGCTACCTGACTGAAGCCCTGGATAAACCTCCGGTAGTAGTTGGCAAACCCTAAGAATCGCTGCACCTCCTTAACCATGGTTGGAGTCGGCCAATTACGCACGGCTGCAATGCGGTCATTCTCCATCTCCACCCCTGACTCGGACAGGCGGTGTCCTAAGAAGGAGACGGACTGTTGGAAGAACAGACATTTCTCAGCCTTGACGTAAAGGTCATGCTCCAACAGTCGACCAAGCACCTTGCGCTCCAGAGACACATGCTCGGCTCGTGTAGCGGAGTATATGAGAATATCATCTATATACACCACTACACCCTGTCCGTGCAGGTCCCTGAAAATCTCATCGACAAAGGATTGAAAGACTGAGGGAGCATTCATCAACCCGTACGGCATGACGAGGTACTCATAGTGCCCAGAAGTGGTACTAAATGCCGTCTTCCACTCATCCCCTTCCCGGATACGCACCAGATTGTACGCGCTCCTGAGATCCAATTTGGTGAAGAAGCTCGCCCCGTGCAATGACTCCGTCACACTAGCAATGAGAGGTAGTGGGTAACTGTACTTTACAGTTATCTGATTGATACCTCGATAGTCAATGCACGGGCGTAAACCTCCATCCTTCTTCACAAAAAAGAAACTTGGAGGTAGGGGAAGTGGAGTGCCGAATGTATCCCTGTACCAGAGATTCGGAGACATATGTTTCCATAGCTGCCGTCTCCTCCTGTGACAGAGGATACACGTGACTCCGAAGAAGTGCAGCGCCCTCCCGGAGATTTATCGCACAATCCCCCTGTCGATGGGGTGGTAATTGAGTCGCCTTCCTTTTACAGAAGGCGAGAGCCAAATCGGCATATTCGGGGGGAATGTGCATCGTGGAGACCTGGTTTGGACGGAAACACCTACACACCTCCCCGAGCACTGACGTGACCATCCCTTGAGAGCCCTCTGTTGCCACGAAATATTGGGGTCATGAGTTGCTAACCAGGGAAGCCCCAGCACCACGGGAAACGCAGGCGAATCGATCAGGAAGAGACTGATTCTCTCCTCATGACCCTCCGGCGTTTCCATCCGGAGTGGAGCTGTAACCTCCCTAATCAGGCCAGACCCTAAAGGGCGACTATCTAAGGCCTGTATGGGGAAGGGCACATCAACAGGCACAATAGGGATCCCTAATCTACGTGCAAACAGACGGTCTATAAAATTCCCAGCTGCGCCGGAATCTACAAGCGCCTTATGCTGGGAATGTGGGGAAAAGTCAGGAAATCTAACACACACACACATGTGAGCAACAGGGAGCTCTGGGTGAGTTGGGTGCTTACTCACCTGGGATGGTCCACCAGGGCCCTGCCTGCTGCCTCCACTCCCTGAGGACCCTTTCCAGCACTGACCAGCAGTGTGTCCTCTGCGGCCATAGTTGGTGCAGGAAACAGTGTTGTGTGTACCGGTCCCCCTTACATCAGCACCTCCAAGCTCCATGGGTGTAGGTTCGGAAGTGCTGGGGGATGGACTGGACGGACCCTGATCCGGACGACCGCAGGTGGCCAACAGGTTATCCATCCGGATAGATAAGTATATCAGCTGGTCCAGGTTAAGAGTGGTATCCCTGCAGGCCAGCTCCCGACGAACATCCTCCCGTAGGCTGCATCAGTAGTGGTCTATCAGGGCCCTCTCATTCCATCCCGCGCTGGCTGCCAAGGTTCTGAAGCCCAATGCGAAGTCCTGTGCGCTCCTCTTCCCCTGTCTGAGGTGGAACAACCGCTCTCCCGCCGCTCTCCCCTCCGGTGGATGATCGAATACAGCCCGGAAATGGCGGGTAAAGTCCTCATAGCGCACAGACTCCGCATCTATACCTCCCCACTCCGCGTTGGCCCACTCGAGTGCTTTCCCCGACAGACAGGAAATGAGGGCGGACACACTCTCGTATCCCGAGGGAGCCGGGTGGATGGTTGCCAGGTAGAGCTCCACCTGGAGCAGAAACCCCTGACACCCGGCAGCTGTTCCATCATATGCCCTCGGGAGCGAGAGCCAAATCCCACTGGCACCAGTGTTAGAATGGGTGGACAGCGACGTGGGGGGAATTGGAGGAAAAGGAGATGTTGGGCAACCTCCTCTCTCCCGTCGCTCCATAGTGTTCAGAAGTCGATCCATAGCTGTGCCCAAAGTTTGTAGCATGGTCGAGTGCTGCTGGATGCGTTCCTCCTCTGAGCTTGAAGGAATGGACGTGCCTGCTGACTCCATTACAATGGTGCGTGATTCTGTCATGGTTCTGGGTGTAGCGGTAGGATGGAATCAGGCACAGGACACAGAACTATAATAACGAAGTTCTTTACTGGAACAACAATAGCAGAGCAAATCCTCCACGCAGGGAAGAGCAAATACCGGCTCACAAAAAGACAGCAAAACAACGAACAATCACGCACAACACCATGAGGGAACCAGAGGGTAAAATAGGGAAACAAAGTAACATAATGGGTAACAGGTGTGATCAATACAGACAAGACAAGTGTAACACAGAAAACATCGATCGGTGGCAGCTAGTACTCCGGTGACGACGAACGCCGAAACCTGCCCGAGCAAGGAGGAGGGGCAGCCTCGGCTGAATTCGTGACACATTTTCAATGCCCTGGCTGAGGGAAGGAGGTTCTCACCCAAGATTTGACGGTACATGGCCCCGTCCATCGTCCCTTTGATGCGGTGAAGTTGTCCTGTCCCCTTAGCAGAAAAACACCCCCAAAGCATAATATTTCCATCTCCATGTTTGACGGTGGGGATGGTGTTCTTGGGGTCATAGGCAGCATTCCTCCTCCTCCAAACACGGCGAGTTGAGTTGATGCCAAAGAACTCCATTTTGGTCTCATCTGACCACAACACTTTCAACCAGTTCTCCTCTGAATCATTCAGATGTTCATTGGCAAACTTCAGACGGGCATGTATATGTGCTTTCTTGAGCAGGGGGACCTTCAGTCCTTCACGGCGTAGTGTGTTACCAATTGTTTTCTTGGTGACTATGGTCCCAGCTGCCTTGAGATCATTGACAAGATCCTCCCGTGTAGTTCTGGGCTGATTCCTCACTGTTGTCATGATCATTGCAACTCCACGAGGTGAGATCTTGCATGGAGCCCCAGGCCGAGGGAAATTGACAGTTATTTTGTGTTTCTTCCATTTGCGAATAATCGCACCAACTGTTGTCATCTTCTCACCAAGCTGCTTGGCGATGGTCTTGTAGCCCATTCCAGCCTTGTGTAGGTCTACAATCTTGTCCGTGACATCCTTGGAGAGCTCTTTGGTCTTGGCCATGGTGGAGAGTTTGGAATCAGATTGATTGATTGCTTCTGTGGACAGGTGTCTTTTATACAGGTAACAAACTGAGATTAGGAGCACTCCCTTTAAGAGTGCGCTCCTAATCTCAGCTCGTTACCTGTATAAAAGACACCTGGGAGCCAGAAATCTTTCTGATTGAGAGGGGGTCAAATACTTATTTCCCTCATTAAAATGCAAATCAATTTATAACATTTTTGACATGCGTTTTTCTGGATTTTTTTGTTGTTATTCTGTCTCTCACTGTTCAAATTCAAATAAACCTACCATTAAAATTATAGACTGATCATTTCTTTGTCAGTGGGCAAACGTACAAAATCAGCAGGGGATCAAATACTTTTTTCCCTCACTGTATATCCGGATGTTGTGTATCCCTGGGGTAAGTTGAGCCATGGGACAGGGTATGTTAAGCCGCCTACAATTTTGTGTGCTTAATGAAATATTACCATAACTTTTTTAAAACCATGTCCATCTTTATTTCCCAAACACAATTCAACAGAATCACAATCGTTTATTTTTTTGTATATTAAACTTTTAACACTGGTTTATCACCTAACAAACACTTTTTGCCAAAAAAATTTTTACATAGGCCAGTTCCTGTCACCTCATATCCCAGCGATAATGCCTTGCATTACGCCTGGGAAGGAAACACTTAAACTTGCCATTGGCTCCACCATTGCCTCAATTTACCCCATGGCCATTGGCTCAATTTACCCCAAAGCAAACATTTTGACTATATTAGCCCACACAGCTTCAAGGATGCATTTTCATGCTAGGTTTAGGACCTCATATTGAAGCTTATAGAGACCCCAGCTGATTTATAGAACAATATAAAAATGATCTACTTTGGTTCAGATACAAGAATTATGAAACCTCTAACACAATAAATTGGACATAACTTTCCACTTTTTCCATGTGGTTTCTTCCTTCAGACTCCATGAAATTATGACCTCTTAAATATTTGTTCAAGTGATACATGTTGTGTAGGGTTTCCTAGAAACAAGGTTAGTTCAACTTACCCCTTTTGCTGAACATCCAACTCTCCCTTATTGTTCAACGATGATTAGGTTCAGTTTCGTAGATATTATTGACTGCTACCAACCTGACCCTGCAGTTTGATTTGATAAAGTGATTTGGCTATGTCACTGATCAAACTACCCTTGAGTCAATCTGGTGTTCTTTGATAGCATTTACTTTTGCAAGACTCTACTGTCAAGTTTTTACCCTTTTGTCTTGATTGCTGTATTCAGACATGTCTGTGTGTAGCAAGGTTATGAACAAGACACTTGTAAGCGATCCAAGAAACTAAATGTTGCACTCAAGACTACCCTTTAAATATGAGGAAGTGGAGGTTTGTGTCACTAAATCAGTGGACTGGTTTGTATTAATGGCTGGATTGAAATTAATACAACAGTTTCAATGAAGCATGTCGTTTTTGCTTCTAACCCTACCCTCAACATCAACCTCTATCACTTGAGAATAGCTATTGTCAGTAAACTGGAGCAGAGAGAGACACTGTCTTGTGTCCGTTTTATGCACACAGAAGGTCAGGCTGGGAAGAAAAAAAATACATATGCCAAAAAGGATTATCCACAACATCAGATGTGTGTGCTGTAACTTTGAGTAGGAGACTTGCTCAGACTCAAAACAACATACAGTATATGTAGTAGTATTCAATGACAAATGATTTTGTATTAAAGGGAAAATATAAAGACTGGCCTTTTTATTTTGTGATATTGTAATGTATATGCATTATGTAACACAAGAATAGAATTCAAAAAGAGAAATTAATTAAATAAACATTGAAAGGTACAGAACATTTTATAAATACTAGCTTAGTTTTAACTGATAATGGAACATGGAGACACTGATGGCCAAAGTTGTGCTAATTTGCGTATATATGCTCAACCATAGACCACTATGTGCATGAATTTCTTGAGTTACAAGAAACTTTTATATACATAAAAGTTTATCAATTTTATTAAAATATGAATTGTGTATAATAAAACATTTATATAATTGATTTATTTTACCTCCTGGAGAAAGCATTACAATTGTATGGTCCAATAACCAAATCTCAAACAGGAAGAGTAACAATGCAAAATGACTTATTATTATGTATTGTATGCAGATCCCAGTTGTTTGAAGGCTTACAAAATGATGGGCTGAATCTTGACATGGAGTATGATTTTGTTGACGGTGAGTGTCACCACCCTGTGGCCTAAATAACATTGCAGTTTGCGTTCACTCCTGCCATCTATGGGTTGTAAAGATTATTGCATGAAAAGGGTAGGGGAAGACATCAAATTGTATGGATTCAAAGATGAGACCAGGTATGACTAGATATGAAAACATACTGAAATGGATTCAAATATAACACTCAGGACCACTATTCTCAAAGGAGATTCTCAGTTGAAAGAGCTTTTGAGTCCAGGACTAATCGGTGTCTGGGAAACCGACCTTCATTGCATTGTGTTGCCTTGATTGTCAGCAGAGGGGAGGGACAAAAAAAGCACTTCTGGCACACAGTTTCAGGGTAGCATGTTTATTTGAACTTGTGATCAGCAATGTAGTATTCTCCTACAAGGCTCAAAGGAATTCATAAATATGTATGCCTTATTCAAATGAGCCCATCTCATCAGTGACAAACTCCATGATATAACTCCATGTGGCAGAATGGGGTGACACATACTCTGATTATTCATTAAATAAAAGTATAAAATGAACAAAACAGTATCATGACCTATATCAAATATAAGATCACAGTAAAATAAATTATCAAAAGAGCACTGGATATTCAAACATTATTGGCTGAAATAACAAAAACATTCAAATATACAGCACCCGTAATAAGCTACAGTACTAGCATGGCAGAAAAGGTAAATGGCTTTTTTATTCAAATGAGTTAGGTTTATGTCCTCGAATAATGAGAGAACTGTTCAGGCCAAATTTCCTACATGTAAGTGAAACCCATCACTCCTTTATAATCTTTACAATGTGGCATTTGGGTCGACAGACAAAATGGCATCAGAACCAAACCCCTTCGGGCCTGAGGTACAGTGAAGTAAAACTTAGCTGTGTGAATATCTGATAACATCAAATCATCTGTAAAAAAATTAAAATAAAACACACTCATCCCTGTATAACTGTGTGGTCACTGGACAGTATTTGCTTATCATGCTCTGAATAGAGATCAGTTAGTCAGTTCTTCAGTGGGGGTACAGTGGCCCCATACAGTAGTATTCAGGAGGCAGCCATTTTGGCTCTGGACGGATCTTAGTATGCAGGAAGGACAAGGTGAGCTCAGCAAAAGGCAGTAGTTTTATTAGATGAGTAAGGTACAATGTTTTAGATGGTAACGATCCATGGCTGACAATGAAAGCAGGGGGAGCTCATGCAACTTGGATGGGAGGAGGGGTGGAGGGTTGCCAGATTGGAGAGTCCTCTCCAAAGTTTCTGTCAGACAGCAGCCCATGGCTTGAATTCTTTAAGTAGGACATAGCACTGGAGAAGAAAAAAAGATTGATAATTAGGGATACTTCAATCATCGTTATAATAATTATCAATGTTCTTTGTCAACTGTGCTAATCAAATTAGAAAAACGTTATCATGAGCCTGTATTTTTATTCAGACACATTTCACAAGTTCAGACAGGAAACACATTCATTTAACAATTTATTAGAAAATAGATGGCAACGCGTGGTCTTGGCGTTAGGCTCTGCTCCTTCAGGGGAGCTCACTGCCAGATCCATGTGTCCATTATTACCATTAAAATACAGGCAGTGAGCGAGATATAACAATCCCCCTGATGGGATCAAAATGCTTGGTGAATATATTGATAAAAGTCTATTTGTCCTAGAGAGATTTATACGATTATTAAAACGCCACACCAGGGTAAGCCTACACGAAACACAGCCCTTACTTAAGGGTTTCTAAAACAAACTATGGGGAAAAATGAATGGTGGAAAAAAATGAATGCAAACACTCTATGTAAACACTCGAGTTCCCCATCTGAACTGGCTTAATTATTAATTATTATACCAGTGGAATAGCCCCTTTAGGTACCATGTATCAGGTTATGTTGTATTTTCCACTTTTGTGTACACTTTTGTTGACCCTTACTTGGACAATACACTGTAAATGCATTCCCTTACACTTAAAGTAATACCTATGTAATTTTAAGTGTTTATAAACCTAATAAAGCAATAGTTACCTTTTAATATGTAGTCAGTTAGCAGTGTAGGCACCTTCTCACTGTCCTCCTTCATGGCATAAAGAACTGTGGGGAGAAAAACAAAGCAAGGTGGCTCTTAGCACTGAGTATAGCACTGCTGGGCATTGACACACTTTTGGAGTTCTTTGAGCACTGTAGGTATTGACCTACAAGTTACCTAACAGACAGCACACAGACTAACCAAATTGAAAATTATGTTTGTACCAAACTATATGAGCAAAACTAACTTTAAGGGTAAATGTATCTAAGACAGCGTTTACCAAACTCGGTCCTGGGGACCCCAAGGGGTTCATGTTTCGTTTTTTGCCCTAGCACTACACAGCTGATTCAAATAATGAACTCTTCATCAAGATTTGATTATTTGAATCAGCTGTGTTGTGCTCGGGTAAAAACCAAAACTAGGAAAACTACCCATTAGCTTAGAATTACATTTTATTTCCCTGCCTACTTACTATTGGTGATCATCTGAAGGTCGTCCACAGTTGGAGGAGTTGCTTTCTTCTCATATGGAATTACCGTGTTTAGATACTAAACAACGAAGACAAAGAGAGACGGTTAGGGAAGAAACGTAGCAGTGTTGAACCCACATGCTTCATTGTAGATTTAACACACTGATATACTTGGTGGCTAAGAGCTGTAAATGCTTAAGTGTCTGACCTGTTTGTCCGTCCCTGTGCTGCCAAATGTCTGTCTGATGCCTGTCTGCAGGATGTTGGAGAGACCCTCCATACTGAAACGCTGGAACACAGACAATCACTAGCGGTGAGGAACAACAACCCTCTGTCATCACAACAGATTTAGTAACACTTTCTATGAGACAGCTTTCTTGTGATACATTCTAAATACATTATAGCATTTCTCTATGCATTTATACAGCTTATACGGAGCTATTATGAATATAGTTTGCATATTAGCCTGTTTTGTAATGGATGTAACCCAACAGCATTTATAAAGGCTGTTAATTTAAAAGGAGCAGTTATGAATGCTTATGATATTAAAATCAGACATCACCACAGGTCAATGGTATATTGACTGGTTGTGCATTATGATGAGGGCTACAGTAATTGACTCTAGCCTCCATTCCTACATTGTCATTACTAAATAGATAGAACTACCATGGTATTGGACAGGTATGTTGGTTAATAATCTGTTCCTGGATATGGACGGGCTGGTCTATGCTGGAACTGTAAGAAATCATATGGTCACTTCCTCTGTGAGTACTCTGTCTGTTGTTCTTCCCGTAAGTGCAGTTAGTTAGGGCCTAATGGTCTCTAGGTCCATTATCCATGTCGATGTGTGAGGGAGAGAGAGAGAGCTGTCTGGCTTGGAAATGCATGTGAATGGACATTAACGCACAGACACTCATGCGTAAGCCTCCCTCCCTCAGTGCTAACCTTCGTAGGCATGGAGGCGGGTTTGGGGTCTGTGCAGGTGGTGGTCGTAGTAGTAGTACCACCAACCACGGTCGTGGTTATCGCGTTACCCTGCAGACTGAGGCCCTTGTCGACCCGGCGCCGGCGCTTGCCCGTGTCCCGCTGCTCCTTCTGGCGGTTCTGCACCTCCATGAGGGCCGTGATGAACGTGTTCTTCACCTCCTTCTCAAACTCCAGCTCATCACGGCGCGCCAGCTGGGTGACCAGCTCCTCTGAGTACTCCCTGATGGCCCCCTCCACCCGGCACAGCAGCTCCACCAGGGCCGAGCTGGGCATCACACTCAGGCCTGGAGGGAGAGAGAGGCATGGAGGTCAGGTATGGAGCTACATTAGCCTGGAGCCCAGCTCTGCATTAGCTGAATAGCCAAATCCTATGGTCATTGTCACAAACAGACAGACCTGGGACCAGGCAAACTGACATAGGCCTGGAGAGAGAAGGGAGGAGGGGAGGAGACGTTGGTTGTAATCAGGTATGGAGCTACGCTACATTAGCCAGTTGATCCCAGATCTGTTTGTGCTGTATAACCAACTCTTACAGTCGTTGTTACTAATAGATCTGGGACCAGGCTAATTGTACATAGAGGTGAACAGAGATTCAATATGCATAATGTTATATACTGTAGAAGGGATATCAAATTCCTTCCCTTGAGGGACAAAGTACTGCTGGTTTTCATTACAATCTGACCTCAGACCTGGGGCATTAGGAAGAAGTGAACTCTCTGGCCAAACAATGACATAAACTGCTAAGGAAAAAAGAAAACCTGTATTCATAAAACATCTCAGAGTAGCAGTGCTAATTTAGGATCAGGTTCCCCCTGTCAATGTAATCATATTCATTGATATATAAAAGGCAATACTGATCCTAGATCAGCATACTTTGAGACACATACTTTGAGACACTATGAATACGGGCCCAGTACCACTTCAGGCCTCAAGGGCAGGAATTGAATAGTCCGGCTGTATACATACAGTCAGTGATGTATATTCATGGATGCCACGGGAAGCCAGGCTTCCCAAAACAATTGACCAATAATAAAATAAAAATTACTAATAATAGTTTTTCTTTCGTCTCTCTGTGTTTCATAATTTTCCTTCAATTCGCAAGAGGAGAAAGCATCCGACGAGCGAGCGAAACAGCGCCCCTCTGTCTCTCTACATGTAGGCCATTTATCTGATGCTGTCTGGTCCAAACAACTATGAAATTGTTGCCGCCGTAGCATTGAAGGCAAGGGAAGCCAGCGAGTATCTGGTCTCCCTTGAAAAAAAAAGTATAAACTATTTGCCAATCAGCGTTGAGCTAAACTGAGTGAGCTCAACTGTGAATGGTCCTGGCGCACCCAAAAAAGTGTCAAGTTGAAATGGTGCTGGAATAGTGAAGGCAGCTGCTGTTTTATGCGACTTGCAGTAACTCTCTGCGGTTCTAAATCAATAGTTGTTTAGTGGTCCGAAAATGTCGGCAACATTAACTTGCTTGATCATGCTGTACATGCAATATGCTTTGTGGACTTCACTGGACAGAGGTTGCTATCCGGTTTTCTGATAAAACAAAGGTGTGGTTGAATTTATTCTGCCACTGTGTCTTCTTATTTCTCGGCCTTTAGGCCTATATACCACAGTCGCAAGGCATATGAATTAATAGGTTATAGAGCAAACAACGCAATTATCACAACACATAGGTTGTAGTATGTCTTTTTTGTGGGGGGGGTGCTTGGCTTCCCCAGTGATTTTACTCACGCACCGCTACTGCATACAGTATATGAATAGATGACATAAATGGGAGGAAAGTGGGATGATATCACCTGTATGTCACCTATTACGTTTTTCATTAGCCTTGACATTACATTCTGAGAAGAGGAACTAGCCTTTGACTGTTTCTGTGACTGGGTGATGCTGTCCAATATTACTACTATTTTTGGAAGTCAACACACACACACACACACACACACACACACACACACTAAGTAGGACAAATACAAATATGTCTCATGCAGGGGAGCCACATGGTCACACAATATGTCTTTCCACAGGGAACACAGGGAAGCATATTGAGTGTGTGCCATGGTCCTCAAATGATCGACTCATACAAAAAATGTCTGCTGCAGGTTTGTCCAGTTATTCATCCTATATTCACCATAGAGGCTGAAGACTGATGAAAGATCCAGATGTTTACTCTGGTAAACTGATAAGACAACCATATTGTCTGAACTATGACCCCTCACCCAATCAAAGTCCTATAAGCAGGGCGGTAGTCTACTGAGCTAAACCCTTGCCATTAACTCAAGCAAGTTTACATTTTTTGTCTCGGACAAGGTTTCTCATTAGCCGCTACAAGATATATCAAAGGTCACTTAATTTTTATACACTGTTCTATGAACAGGAAATTGATTTTGGAAAAGGTGTCTGTCCACAACTTCAATTGAAATCTGAATTGGACCTTGAATTGCTTAAATTGTCACTTTCTTCTGTTAATTTAACTCCTTGGTACAGTGGATATAAAAAGTCTACACTCTCCTGTTAAAATGCCAGGTTTTTGTGATGTAAAAGAATGAGACAAAGATAAATAATGTCAGAACTTTTTCCACGGTTAATGTGACCTATAATGTGAGCAATTCAATTGAAAAACAAACTGAAATCTTCGAGGGGGAAAAATGAAAAATAAAAACCTTACAATAACCTGATTGCATAAGTGTGCCCTCTTATAACTGGGGATGTGGCTGTGTTCCGAATTAACCAATCACATTCAAACTCATGTTAAATAGAAGTCATTACACACCTGCCATCATTTAAAGTGACTCTGATTAATCACAAAGTTCAGCTGTTCTAGTAGGATTTTCCTGACATTTTCTTAGTTGCATCTCAGAGCGAAAGCCATGGTCCGCAGAGAGCTTCCAAGGCATCAGAGGGATCTCATTGTTGAAAGATATCAGTCAGGAGAAGGGTACAAAATAATTTCCAAAGCATTACATATACCATGGAACACAGTGAAGACAGTCATCATCAAGTGGAGAAAATATGGCACAACAGAGACATTACCAAGAACTGGACGTCCCTCCAAAATTTATGAAAAGATGAGGAGAAAACTGGTCAGGGAGGCTTCTAAGAGGCCTACAGCAACATTAAAGGAACTGCAGGAATTTCTGGCAAGTACTGGCTATGTGCTACATGTGACAACAATCTCCTGTATTCTTCATATGAAGGGGCTATAGGGTAGGGTGGCAAGACAGAAGCCTTTTCTTACAAAGAAAAACATCCAAGCCCGGCTGAAGTTTGCAAAAACAAACATCAAGTCCCCCAAAAGCACGTGGGAAAATGTTTTATGGTCTGATGAAACCAAGGTTGAAATTTTTGGCCATAATTCCAAAAGGTATGTTTGCGCAAAAACAACACTGCACATCACCCAAAGAACACCATACCCACAGTGAAGCATGGTGGTGGCAGCATCATGCTTTGGGGCTGTTTTTCTTCAGCTGGAACCGGGGCCTTAGTCAGGGTGGAGGGAATTATGAACAGTTCCAAATACCAGGCAATTTTGGCACAAAACCTTCAGGCGTCCGTTAGAAAGCTGAAGATGAAGAGGAAGTTCACCTTTCAGCACAACAATGACCCAAAGCACACATCCAAATCCACAAAAGCATGGCTTCACCAGAAGAAGATTAACGTTTTGGAATGGCCCAGCCAGAGCCCAGACCTGAATCCAATTTAACATCTCTGGGGTGATCTGAAGAGGGCTGTGCACAGGAGATGTCCTCGCAATCTGACAGATTTGGAGCGCTTTTGCAAAGAAGAGTGGGCAAATATTGCCACGTCAAGATGTGCCATGCTAATAGACTCCTACCCAAAAAGACTGAGTGCTGTAATAAAATCAAAAGGTGCTTCAACAAAGTATTAGTTTAAGGGTGTGCACACTTATGCAACCAGGTTATTGTGAGTTTTTTATTTCCCCCCCTCAAAGATTTCAGTTTGTTTTTCAATTGAATTGTTCACGTTATAGGTCCCATTAAAGGTGGAAAAAGTTCTGACATGATTTATTTGTCTCATTCTTTTACATCACAAAAACCTGGCATTTTAACAGGGGTGTGTAGACTTTTTATATCCACTGTATATGTGACTTGGTGTTTAACCCTTGATTCAACCTTAGTTTTTGTACACTAACCTTCATAAGAGGGCATGTTGTTATTGGAGGCCTGGGACAGCTGTCTGATCTCTTCCAGAAGGGATGGGTTGGTCTTGGGTGAGGAGTGTCCACTCTCCTCCTCGTCCTCCTCCTCTGTCTCACCAGGGTCCGGAGAGTTCTCCATCATCTCAACTATCTCCTCAATGACCTTGGAGAGAGATGGAGGGAGGGAGGGTGGGAGGGAAGGTAGATTAATACATACACTCTCATGAACAGCAGTCAGACTCTGAGTCACCAATAAGTAAAAAACGAATGGTCGTCAGGCATTTATTATTCATGTACAGTAGCCTATGCTATAATGCAGAAGGGAGCTACTTGAAATAAATAGTCTTGCTATACTTTTCGCCTTGGCCTTTTTAACCACTGTTATTACAGTATATGGGGGAGTTAATGTATTCTACTTTTGTATGTTTTAAACTGTCTAAATTAGCTTAAAGTAACTGTCCAGAGAGAATCTCACATTTAAAAGTTAATATTCTGTTAACTCATACCCAAATAATGTTGTTGACTCATCCTTTATTCATATTTGTGGCCAAAGCATAAATTGGAGAAAAAATACTTACAAAATCCCACCTCAAGCTTATATCTCAAACAGACCATTTAAAAAATGCTTGCTATTTCCTCATAGATGATGATGGCCAATAAGCGGTCTACTCGCATGAATAATTTTAATGACCGGTATATGCCAACACCATTCTGTTGTTGGGGTATGCCCGCACCATACCAACACAGAAAAGCTGCTTTTTAACATACTTAATTACAATGTTTTGGAAGGAAAACTATTTAACTTGTGTTGTAATTAATTATGGGTCATATTTCATAGAAATCTGGAAACAGTAGACAGTTACTTTAACTAAACCTAGTAATATACTTAACTGGAAGTCCTACCAAGTCCTTTGCATAACAGGAAGTACATGTGTCTGTAGTCACCTGATCAGCAGTGAGGAGAGGCTCCTCACTCAGGCAGTTGGCATTGTCGTTCTTCTCATTCATCTCCTCCTCCTCTTTTTCATGAATCTGGAGAATGCAAGAGAGAACGAATGAAACCATGGAAACCCATTCAGCCACATTTGTGCTAGCTTAACTTCTTAGTATTGGAAACAGAAACCATGGAAACAAGGTTTATAAATAAGAGTACAGAAAAGCCATTCACCCATGTTGGATTTATCTTTAGAATATTAGCATTGGCGTTTAGGAAGCTAGTGAACATGGTCCAAATATGACCCCATTATCCCCCTCTGCTTTTCATCTGAAAATACAATTTATTACCCTCGAGTTTGGAAGCAAATTTGAAAGTGTTTGAGTTATGCTTAGTCACACTCAAATTGCCCCAATTCTATCTATTGACCATTGACTTTCTATTTACTAATTGACTGCTTTTGATGCTCATTTATGCCATTGGCCTCACCCCAGTTAATCCCTACAAGGATATAATTCAGTAATAAACTAAACCGGGGGCATGGAAGACTAAATGCTGATGGACTGCTTTTCTATGTCTGGAGAGTCGCTTATAGCTTCCTGCTGGGGACTGTGTGTCTGCGTATTGACCCTGACCCAGTGCCTGTGCCTTGACCCTGACCCAGTGCCTGTGCCTTGACCCTGACCCAGCTCTGTGCCTTGACCCTGACCCAGCCCTGTGCCTTGACCCTGACCCAGCCCTGTGCCTTGACCCTGACCCAGCCCTGTGCCTTGACCCTGACCCAGTGCCTGCAGTTGCATGCGACAGCAGACTAGGGGAGGAGAGGGAGAGAGGGTGGAGGAGGAGGGTGGTTGATTGACGGATACTAAGTAGCACGCAGTCAAGGCAGCTCAGCCTTGATTTTTGGTGTCAGGTCAGGTGACGTCAGCGCCACAACCACAAGGCATGAATGAACATCCAGCCAGCCAGCCAGCCAGCCTGCCAGCACACTCTAGCTAGCATGTTTGCTAAAACTTGATCTCTTACAGCATGTCGTCCCACATTGCCTCACTAAAGAACACACTGCAGTCAGTCACACATGAAAGAGGTGTTCTAATATCCATTCAAATAAGTCTAAAGATCTAATGAAAAAATGTATTTCCAAGATGTTGTCTCAGAATGTTTCAGGTCTTTCCAGTTGAGAAGAAAGGAGGTTGGAAAATGGAGAAACATGATTCTTACGATGACCTTCAAGTATTTTGGAGTATATTGTAGAGCGTTACCTCCTGATCGGAGAGGTTGTCGTTGAATCCCTCTGAGTTGGGGTCGTCCCAGCTGGAGACAGAGGAAGGGACGTAGTTATCCATCAGCGCATCCCACACACTGAAACATGGACATAACAAACACACATTCAGTCACCAACACCGCAACACAACAAAAATACAGAGATGCAAACACACTTAGCCACCAACATTGTAACAGGACATCTCATACACTGCAACACAAGACAAACACTCAGTCACCAACATTGGAACGATCAGGACATCCCACACACAACACAGCACAAAACACTATCAGTCCTCAAGGCTGTAACTATCAGGAAATAGGCTCTTTTTGGGGGCATAAAATGGTAATTCCATAATAATCCAAAATCCAGTGGTGGCTTGTGATTTTAAAAAAATGAGGAGGAGGATGGATTACATCATGAAGAGGACCATCCTTCTCTTCCTCCCTAGATGACCCTCCTCTACCCAAAATCATGTTTGATAGAAATTGTCAATTGTATATCTGCAGCTATTTCCTTCTATCAGTGTTCCGTTGAACATTCGCAGAGAGTGAATGCAGAGTAAGAGGTGTTCACATGACATTATTGTGCTTCATTCTCATTTGTTGCTCTTTTACTTCACTCTGTTTTGGGCGGTCTCTCAACAATTATGTCCCTGAACTTGTCAACATAATTAATCAAATCAAAATGCACATCAAAATCCTCCCTATTGCACTCCAGGCTGCAATGCACACAGTCAACTAACAATAAAATAAAAACTCAGTTTACAAATTTTTTACAGGTGTCCAATGTGAATAAGTATAGATAAAAACAGCCCCTTACAGCATTGTGCAGGTCCTCCTCCAACTATAAGAACCTCGGTCCAATCAAGGCTTTAGCCTTGTGAAAATGACCAGAGTAGAACTCTCCCTTTGTTTCCCCTTTCTTTGTTTTTCCCCCAGCTTGGCATGGCACCCACACCCTACCCTCCTCTTAGTGGCACTGCCCAGCAATGCGCCATGCAGGAAACAAGCAGCCATTCATCGGGACTCATGACCTCAGAGATCATGCCTGATGTGTTGTCCACACACACACACACACACACACACACACACAGACACTAGCTGGTACAGCACCGTCCCAAATGTTTGCAAACCTTTAGTTAATCTGGCCCTTAGATTGAACCAATCATTCTATCAACTGTGTTGCATAACATAAATAATGTATAAACTATCAAATTAAAACTCAAATAAAGCTTACAATAGATAAATGTGCATTTGTTCCTTGCATCACTACAAGGATAAGGATAGGGGAACCAATTTCAAAACATTCAAATCAGACGCATCATATGATGCGGTTTCTAACTCTGTAGTGTACTGTAGAATACAGTAGATCATCAAATGCAAAACAAGGTCATTAATGCACGCCCACATGCTAACAATAGTATCCCCAACATACATCTTGTATGTCATTGATTTTATCATCAATACTTTGTCCTTCGGTCCTATGCACTCTGAATATGGATCAATTGGCATACCCAAGGGCACCTACAACCAAGCTATTTTTAGCAAGAGGGTTTATTTCCACCCAATGCGAGAATGTCTATGTTTCCGCTTCAGAAGCAGTTGGCGAATGGGAGTGCTAGCTGCCTGCTGGTAGAGGCAGCGACAGACCAAAAGAGCGTTAAAAAATACATTTAATAATTCAAGGCCTATACCGACTGTAGACTGCTGGGATGGGCAGTGTCACACGGGTGGTTTGTGTTTTCGTGTTTTTTGCTGGTGGACGATTTGGTTGCTGTGAGGTGGGCTGAGTATCAGGATCTGAGAGCCGGGTCATGAGATATCTAGTGGTATCGTTATTAAAGTAGTGGTATATCAGCCAATGCTCTGTTTAGCTGATAGCTGTGATGACTTTTGGTATTCTATCTAAACTTTAATGAATGCATAGGTGTAGTGTTCATAGCTACTCCCCTGTAGCTCAGTTGGTAGGGCATGGCGCTTGCAACGCCAGGGTTGTGGGTTCGTTTCCCACGGGGGGCCAGTATGAAAAATGTATGCACTCACTAACTGTAAGTCGCTCTGGATAAGAGCGTCTGCTAAATGACTAGAATGTAAAAAAATAGCTGCTCCTTTCACACCATACCCAGACTTGAAATGCTCTGTTTGCAGTAAATAGTGTGCCTTGAATGGGATTGCATGGTCACAAAAGTATGCAGTGTGAAGACAGAAGAGGAAGACATCATCAGAAATGATGGACTACCTAAACAAGCAAGCATTGACCAATGATTTGTTCAGAAGATTGCTGCAAAGGATGTGCCATATTATAAAAAGAATACTGGGGTGCATTGTACAACCCAAAAGGCAAGCAGCTGAAGTGAAAAATAATTTCCCTGTGATACACCATTTGTATCTTTCACTCTTATCACAAAAGCACAGACCCTTTATGCTGAGGTCAGACTTATGCTTAAAAACCACAAAGGTGGTGGACGATACTCACTCTTCATCCTGCAGCCGCTCCTCGTCCTCCTCGGTGTGGGACTGGTTGCGCACGGGGGCCAGGCCTTCCGTCTTGGTGTTGTAGTTGTGGAAACAGACATTCAACTTCTCGTCAAACTCATTGACCAGGTCCTCCATGGACTTGAAGCTCATCATCTCAGAGAAGTTCTCCAGTTCGGAGAAGTCCTCACGGGTGATGGGGGCTAGGGGGGCCATGGGGGCCAGGGGGACGGTGCTGTAGGGGGGTCGGCTGATGGGCATGTCCTCTACCCGGCAAGGCCTGAGGTCCTCAAACTCCTCATCCAGGCACACAAGCGGGGCCTCCATGGTGGGTGTCCCCAATCACAAGTCAATGACAGAGGAAGGAGCCCTAGGATAGGAAAGGAAGGGACAAAAAATTGAAAACAACATGGACTTTACAGGGGGTTGCTTTTTTCAATTTGTGTCATTAAATCATTCTCCAGAAACATTGTCAATACCACTGACCCAGAAAAGACAAAGCATTTCTGGGTCCCAGCCCAGACACCAGCACTTCAGGTCTCAGGAAGACAGTAGCGATGCTAACTCGGCCATCTGCTACATCAGCAGTAGCACATCTGATTCAGCAAATAATGGCTTGGTGGTTAGTTGAATCAGGTGTGCTAGTGCAGGGCTGGAGTAAAAATACTTGACTACATGCTAAATTCACACTTTTGGTATCTGGAGTAATTTCAATTGGACATTTACCAATAAAATACACATATAAATGTTGCAGCAAGTCTAGAATGGCAAAGTCCCCCCCCAGACAAAGAGGAAGGGACTCAGCTGGACCAGGAAAGACACAGTCCCCCAGGGAGCCAAAATGGTAGTCGGGTTTCCTGGTTAACTGCAGTTAATTAAGCAATACTGGTGGGATTTTAATTGATGAGGAAAGGGATTCAGGGACTGATAGTCATTATAAAGACAATACAGTGGCCACCCATTATGTTGTCTTAAGAGCGAAACTCAACAAAAGAAAGGGCATATCTAGCCCTAAATTTAGACAATGTGCTAATTATAGATTTTATCGCTGTGGCGAATTCTGTGTCACAGCAAGATGGTACTAAGCACCATGAAACTTGGGGAACATTGTTCAAGACGGACACTTACCAACTTAAGCACAAATCCTAAACACTTAAATCTACAGTATATGAGGTCATATAGCTATAATAATCAGACATCCTCAATGATGAATTACTCTGTATGTAATTCTTGTTCTTACTATCCTGGTAAGAATGGAGTGATCTGTACGAAATTAACAACAACAGTTGATTCTTGTGGAAGACTGTTGGATGAAAGTTGTGTTTCAGTCCAAGTTCTGACACAGTGCAATTATAGGAGTGAGGGCTAAAGGTACTAACGTTTTTCCTGGATCTTTGCCTATAGCCAGGGAGTGGCGTGAAAAGGAATCCATTTAAACCAAGATTGTGTAAGCGTCTTCCTTTCTCTCCATCACATTACTCAGCAAAGTGCCACTTCATCAAAAGACAGATTCTTTAGCCTCTCCTCTCTCTCTTTGTCTCTCTGTCTCTTTCTCCCATCATACCCACCGTTATTTTCTGCAGAGTAGCCTCTGAGTATTTATTCATATAGCATCTCAGAGTTGGAATGCTGATGTAGGATAAGTTTGGCCTTTTCATACACGTCGACCCAGAGCATCCCAAACATGCTCAATGGGTGACATGACTGTTAAGTATGCAGACCATATAAGAACTGGGACATTTTCAGCTTCCAGGAATTTTCTACATATCCTTGCGACATGGGGCTGTGCATTATCATGCTGAAACATGAGGTGATGCCGGCGGATGAATGGCACAACAATGAGCCTCAGGAACTCGTCACGGTATCTCTGTGCATTCCAATTGCCATTGATAAAATACAATTGTGTTCGTTGTGCATGCCCATACCATAACCCCACTGCCACCATGGGGTTTACATCCGCAAACCAATCGCCCACACAACGCTATACACGCTATCTGCCATCTGCCCAGTACAGTTGAAACCGGGATTCATCCGTGAAGAGCACACTTCTCCAGTGTGCCAGTGGCCATCGATGGTTACATCGCTGAACTGCAGTCAGGTCAAGACCCTGGTGAGAACGACGAGCACGCAGATTAGCTTCCCTGAGACAGTTTCTGACAGTTTGTGCAGAAATTCTTCAGTTGTGCAAACCCACAGTGTAATCAGCTTTCAGGTGGCTGGTCTCAGACCATCCCGCAGATAAAGAAGCCGGATATGGAGGTCCTGAGTTGGCGTGGTTACACGTGGTCTGCTTTTGTGAGGCCGGTTGGACGTACTACCAAATTCTCTAAAACGACGTTGGAGGCGGCTTATGGTAGAGACATTAAATGTTGTAAGAGATATTTGCAGCTTTTCATGGCTACATAAGAAGCTTTCAGCTTTTGTTAGATCCTAATCCATGTACTAATGAACATCTTGCAGGTGGATACAAAGAAAAGACTGAAAACAGCAGAAAATAATTTTGTTCTGATAGACTGCCATGAAATCACGAAGGCAGGCTGAGAGTGACAATATGAGTGTTTGTGTGTTTATGCGCATGTGAATGTATATGCATTGAGTGTAATGGTGTGCACGCATGTGTGTATGTACAGTGGATATAAAATTCTACACACCCCTGTTAAAATGCCAGGTTTTTGTGATGTAAAAGAATGAGACAAAGATAAATCATGTCAGAACTTTTTCCACTGTTAATGTGACCTATAATGTGAACAATTCAATTGAAAAAGAAACAGAAATCTTCGAGGGGGAAAAATGAAAAATAAAAACCTTACAATAACCTGGTTGCATACAGTGGGGAAAAAAAGTATTTAGTCAGCCACCAATTGTGCAAGTTCTCCCACTTAAAAAGATGAGAGAGGCCTGTAATTTTCATCATAGGTACACGTCAACTATGACAGACAAAATGAGAACAAAAAATCCAGAAAATCACATTGTAGGATTTTTAATGAATTTATTTGCAAATGATGGTGGAAAATAAGTATTTGGTCAATAACAAAAGTTTCTCAATACTTTGTTATATACCCTTTGTTGGCAATGACACAGGTCAAACGATTTCTGTAAGTCTTCACAAGGTTTTCACACACTGTTGCTGGTATTTTGGCCCATTCCTCCATGCAGATCTCCTCTAGAGCAGTGATGTTTTGGGGCTGTCGCTGGGCAACATGGACTTTCAACTCCATCCAAAGATTTTCTATGGGGTTGAGATCTGGAGACTGGCTAGGCCACTCCAGGACCTTGAAATGCTTCTTACGAAGCCACTCCTTCGTTGCCCGGGCGGTGTGTTTGGGATCATTGTCATGCTGAAAGACCCAGCCACGTTTCATCTTCAATGCCCTTGCTGATGGAAGGAGGTTTTCACTCAAAATCTCACGATACATGGCCCCATTCATTCTTTCCTTTACACGGATCAGTCGTCCTGGTCCCTTTGCAGAAAAGCAGCCCCAAAGCATGATGTTTCCACCCCCATGCTTCACAGTAGGTATGGTGTTCTTTGGATGCAACTCAGCATTCTTTGTCCTCCAAACACGACGAGTTGAGTTTTTACCAAAAAGTTCTATTTTGGTTTCATCTGACCATATGACATTCTCCCAATCCTCTTCTGGATCATCCAAATGCACTCTAGCAAACTTCAGACGGGCCTGGACATGTACTGGCTTAAGCAGGGGGACACGTCTGGCACTGCAGGATTTGAGTCCCTGGCGGCGTAGTGTGTTACTGATGGTAGGCTTTGTTACTTTGGTCCCAGCTCTCTGCAGGTCATTCACTAGGTCCCCCCGTGTGGTTCTGGGATTTTTGCTCACCGTTCTTGTGATCATTTTGACCCCACGGGGTGAGATCTTGCGTGGAGCCCCAGATCGAGGGAGATTATCAGTGGTCTTGTATGTCTTCCATTTCCTAATAATTGCTCCCACAGTTGATTTATTCAAACCAAGCTGCTTACCTATTGCAGATTCAGTCTTCCCAGCCTGGTGCAGGTCTACAATTTTGTTTCTGGTGTCCTTTGACAGCTCTTTGGTCTTGGCCATAGTGGAGTTTGGAGTGTGACTGTTTGAGGTTGTGGACAGGTGTCTTTTATACTGATAACAAGTTCAAACAGGTGCCATTAATACAGGTAACGAGTGGAGGACAGAGGAGCCTCTTAAAGAAGAAGTTACAGGTCTGTGAGAGCCAGAAATCTTGCTTGTTTGTAGGTGACCAAATACTTATTTTCCACCATAATTTGCAAATAAATTCATTAAAAATCCTACAATGTGATTTTCTGGATTTTTTTCCCTCAATTTGTCTGTCATAGTTGACGTGTACCTATGATGAGAATTACAGGCCTCTCTCATCTTTTTAAGTGGGAGAACTTGCACAATTGATGGCTGACTAAATACTTTTTTCCCCCACTGTAACTGGGGATGTGGCTGTGTTCAGAATTAACCAATCACATTCATACTCATGTTAAATAGAAGTCATTACACACCTGCCATCATTTAAAGTGACTCTGATTAATCACAAATAAAGTTCAGCTGTTCTAGTAGGATTTTCCTGACATTTTCTTAGTTGCATCTCAGAGCAAAAGCCATGGTCCACAGAGAGCTTCCAAGGCATCAGAGGGATCTCATTGTTGAAAGATATCAGTCAGGAGAAGGGTACAAAATAATTTCCAAAGCATTACATATACCATGGAACACAGTGAAGACAGTCATCATCAAGTGGAGAAAATATGGCACAACAGAGACATTACCAAGAACTGGACGTCCCTCCAAAATTTATGAAAAGACGAGAAGAAAACTGGTCAGGGAGGCTTCCAAGAGGCCTACAGCAACATTAAAGGAACTGCAGGAATTTCTGGCAAGTACTGGCTGTGTGCTACATGTGACAACAATCTCCCGTATTCTTCATATGAATGGGCTATGGGGTAGGGTGGCAAGACGGAAACATTTTCTTACAAAGAAAAACATCCAAGCCCGGCTGAAGTTTGCAAAAACAAACATCAAATCCCCCAAAAGCACGTTGGAAAATGTGTTATGGTCTGATGAAACCAAGGTTGAACTTTTTGGCCATAATTCCAAAAGTTATGTTTGGCGCAAAAACAACACTGCACATCACCCAAAGAACACCATACCCACAGTGAAGCATGGTGGTGGCAGCATCATGCTTTGGGGCTGTTTTTCTTCAGCTGGAACCGGGGCCTTAGTCAGGGTGGAGGGAATTATGAACAGTTCCAAATACCAGGCAATTTTGGCACAAAACCTTCAGGCGTCCGTTAGAAAGATGAAGAGGAAAATTCACCTTTCAGCACGACAATGACCCAAAGCACACATCCAAATCCACAAAAGCATGGCTTCACCAGAAGAAGATTAATGTTTTGGAATGGCCCAGCCAGAGCCCAGACCTGAATCCAATTGAACATCTCTGGGTTGATCTGAAGAGGGCTGTGCACAGGAGATGTCCTCGCAATCTGACAAGATTTGGAGCACTTTTACAAAGAAGAGTGGGCAAATATTGCCACGTCAAGATGTGCCATGCTAATAGACTCCTACCCAAAAAGACTGAGTGCTGTAATAAAATCAAAAGGTGCTTCAACAAAGTATTAGTTTAAGGGTGTGCACACTTATGCAACCAGGTTGTGAGTTTTTTATTTTTTATTTTTCCCCCTCAAAGATTTCAGTTTGTTTTTCAATTGAATTGTTCACGTTATAGGTCACATTAAAGGTGGAAAAAGTTCTGACATGATTTATCTTTATCTCAATCTTTTACATCACAAAAACCTGGCATTTTAACAGGGGAGTGTAGACTTTTTATATCCACTGTATGTGACATTTGACCTTCACCTTAACCAATGGACCCAGGTGATGGAGATGTTATCCTACCACTATTTTGCTCCCTGCCTGGAGCCAAAGCACCCACAAACCACCAAGACCAAAAACAACCAATCACAGAATCTCATCAGATGTCCTTCAATACAATGTAACCAAATAGCTGTCCCCATTTTACACTTGCAAAAACAACGCTAGCACACTGACTGGAGAACAAATCAATATTTGTTGTTATGCCAAATCCATTGCCATAATTTCATTCCATAAGATCTTATGGCTATAAAATAAAAATATATAATAGATTTTTAGACATATTTGGGACAATTCAATTGATATAGCGATGGGTGGGTCATATGGTTGCATTTATCTCAGAACAATACAAACACATCTTCTGCTATTCATATTAATATGGGTGTGTGGCTGCCTGCCGAAGCCTCTCCCATAATATGAAGATGTTTACATCTATTACTTTCATTGGCTACATGAGAACATGCTTGTCAGTTCCCATAGCCATTATGGAAGAAAATGGATTTGGGGGAGGAAGAGAAGAGAGAGGGAGAGGATGAGGGGACGAAGATATGGAAGACAAGACCATGGTTACATAAGAGGGAGGGAGGGAGATGATGGAAAACAATGATGGAGGGAGGTGGAGAAGGATAGATAGAATGATAGATTACCTGCAGTAACTGTGCCTCCTGTAATATGGCTTAGAAACAGAGAGACGGTCCCTCCTAGGCAAGGCAGATCTGCACTACGCCACCTTCCTCTGCAAATCCCAACACTGGCCAACCAACAGCAACTACAGTCATTCTGGAGACTGGAGAGAAAAGAAAGAGGGAGAGAGAGAAAGAAAAATGACAATGTCCGGTGCTGTTCTGTCCGTCCCTTCTCCTCCACTAACACACAGCCCCCTTGCTTATCTCTTTCCGCTGGCAGCAGCCCGTTGTTTTCGAATCAGTAAGCAGCCTCAGCCTCAACCTTACTTAGAGAGGAGAGAGAGAGCCTGTGCATTGCTTTCTCGCTACAGCACCTGCCTGCCTGTCTGCATGACGGAATCGTCATCCCCCTCTCCCCTCCTCCTTCTTCTCCCCCTCTCCCTTTGTCCATACCTCCCTCCTCCCCCTCCCTTCCCCCCTCCTTCCAAGGCTCAAAGCCCTCAATATTAATGAGGAAAAGGGCAGGGGGAAGGTGAGGAGGTGAAGGGAGAAGCAGCTGCACCATGTGTGTACTGTAGAGACCAGGCAGAATGTGTCCGCCATGGCTACATTATTAGGTTGTCCTGTAACCTGCTACTTATCATTCTATGGGTAGAATGGCAGGGAAGCTAGCTTCATTGACCAGAGCCTGTGAATACGTTAGCTAGGCTGATTAGCATTTGGCTGATTAACATTTTGACAGGGACAGAGTGCTGCTGGAGCGGAACAGAGCTGAAAGGAGGGACCCTGAGATTGGTGGTGATGGTTAGCTTGCTTGCTAGCCTGTGAAGGAAGAAGCTTGCCATTTTTGGTCCCACCTCTATGAGAGCAGTAAGGGGAAGGACATCAAAGAAACCTGCCCTTGTAGTGCTACTAGTCCCGTGTAGCTCAGTTGGTAGAGCATGGCGCTTGCAACGGCAGGGTTGTGGGTTCGATTCCCACGAGGGACCAGTATGAAAAAAAAATTATGCACTAACTAAGTCGCTCTGGATAAAAGCATTTGCTAAATGACTAAAATGTAAATGTACTACACTGAATATTCAAAACATTAAGAACAACTGCTCTTTCCATGACATAGACTGACCAGGTGAATCCAACTTAAAGCTATGATCCCTTACTAATGTCAGTTGTTAAATCCACTTTTTAATCAGTGTAGATGAAGGGGAGGAGACAGGTTAAAGAAGGCTTTTAAAGCCTTAAGACAATTGAGACATGGATTGTATACAGTGCGCCTTCGGAAAGTATTCAGACCCCTTGACTTTTTCCACATTGTGTTACGTTACAGCCTTATTCAAAAATGGATTAAATTGTTTTTTTTCCCCCTGATCAATCTACACACAATACCCCATAATGTCAAAGCAAAAACAGGTTTTTAGAAATGTTTGCTAATTTATTAAAATAAAAAAATTGAAATATCACATTTACATAAGTATTCAGACCCTTTACTCAGTACTTTGTTGAAGCACCTTTGGCAGCGATTACAGAGTATTCTAAGGTATGACGCTACATTCTTGGAACACCTGTATTTGGGGAGTTTCTCCCATTCTTCTCTGCAGATCCTATCAAGCTCTGTCAGGTTGGATGGGGTGCGTTGCTGCACAGCTATTTTCAGGTCTCTCCAGAGATGTTCAAGTCCGGGCTCTGGCTGGGCCACTCAAGGATATTCAGAGACTTGTCCCGAAGCCACTCCTGCGTTGTCTTGGCTGTGTGCATAGGGTCGTTGTCCTGTTGGAAGGTGAACCTTAGCCCCAGTCTGAGGTCCTGAGTGCTCTGGAGCAGGTTTTCATCAAGGAGCTCTCTGTACTTTGCTCCGTTCATCTTTGCCTCGATCCTGACTAGTATCCCAGTCCCTGCCGCTGAAAAACATCCCCACAGCATGATGCTGCCACGGGAATGGAACCATGCTTCACCGTAGGGATGGTGCCAGGTTTCCTCCAGACGTGACGCTTGGCATTCAGGCCAAAGAGTTCAATCTTGGTTTCATCAGACCAGAGAATCTTGTTTCTCATGGTCTGAGCGTCTTTAGGTGCCTTTTGGCAAACTCCAAGCTGGCTGTCATGTGCCTTTTACTGAGGAGTGGCTTCCGTCTGGCCACTCTACCATAAAGGCCTGATTGGTGGAGTGCTGCAGAGATGGTTGCACTTCTGGAAGGTTCTCCAATTTCCACAGAGGACCTCTAGAGCTCTGTCAGAGTGACCATCGGGTTCTTGGTCACCTCCCTGACCAAGGCCCTTCTCCCCCGATTGCTCAGTTTGGCCGGGCGGCCAGCTCTAGGAAGAGTCTTGGTGGTTCCAAACTTCTTCCATTTAAGAATGATGGAGGCCACTGTGTTCTTGGGGATCTTCAATGCTGCAGACATTTTTTGGTACCCTTCCCCAGATCTGTGCCTCGACACAATCCTGTCTCTGAGCTCTACGGACAATTCCTTCGACCTCATGTCTTGGTTTTTGCTCAACTGTGGGACCTTATATAGACAGGTGTGTGCCTTTCCAAATCATGTCCAATCAATTGAATTTACCACAGGTGGACTCCAATGAAGTTGTAGAAACATCTCAAGGATAATCAATGGAAACAGGATGCACCTGAGAACAATTTCGAGTCTCATAGTATTTCTGTTTTTTATTGTTAATACATTTGCAAAAAAATCTAAAATCCTGTTTTCGCTTTGTCATTATGGGGTATTGTGTGTAGATTGCTCATGGGAAACAAGTATTTAATCAATTTTAGAATAAGGCTGTAACATAACAAAATGTGGAAAAAGTCAAGGGGTCTGAATACTTTCCGAAGGCACTGTATGTGTGCCATTCAGAGGTTGAATGGACAAGACAAAAGATTGAAGTGTCTTTGAACGGGGTATGGTAGTAGGTACCAGGCGCACTGGTTTGTGTCAAGAACTGCCTTGTTGCTGGGTTTTTCACGCTCAACAGTTTCCTGTGTGTATCAAGAATGGTCCACCACCCAAAGGACATCCATTCAACTTGGCACAACTGTGGGAAGCATTGGAATCAGCATGGGCCAGCATCCCTGTGGAACGCTTTTGACACTTTGTAGAGTCCATGCCCCGATGAATTAAGGCTTTTCTGAGGGCAACTCAATATTAGGACGGTGTTCTTAATGCGACAGAGAGAGACAGAGGGAGAAAGAGTGAGACCGAAAGGCAGTGACAGATTGAGAAAATGTCAAACAGGCAGCAATACACCTTGTGGCATTCAGTCCACCATGCCAGAAGACAAAGACGGTTGTGGAGGGATTGCTGCCAACTTGGTTTTTGTCACCCTGTGAGCTACAGATGGCTTTACACACACCCACACAACGTAAACCCACTGAGCTCCTCGTCAGTCCCTGGCCTGTTCCCTGTCCCTAATCCCTGACTGGGTTTAATCTGATTCTGTGGTGGAGATGAAATCCCCTTTGAAAGCCACATAGCCGACATAGGAATAGAAACACGTGCTCATGTAATGGCTTCACACACTATTATAAAACCATGTGAGCACAGATACAGACACATATGGCCATGCCATGATCTCTCTCTTGTACAGTTGGGCTATACTCTTCTGCTAGCACCCTAGCTGGTTTCCCATATCAGATTAGCATAAATCTGTTATGGGGCTAATGCACAGTGTGTATTGTCGATGACTTGATGTAATGTTATGGAGTTGAGTGTCTAAGCGTAACATCATCACCGTAACTTATCGATCAGAACCTGGTAATGGTCACCTAGTGCTTAGGTTACACAGTTCCAATGTTCCCCTACCCACTGTGGCAAAGTCATACAAGTGACAATGAGCTTTTATTGTGTGATTTAGTGTGCTTATTTGAAACTAGACAAATATGAGCAATAAATATATCTTAGTTTCTTTCCCTGATATGACCTGGGGTGTATTCACTTGGAACCAAACAGAAACAAACGGACCGAAACGGAGAGGGACTTTCCTGAATTTGTCCAATAAGAAACTCTAATTTTCATTGCAAAACATTTTACTACGGTGTGCACTAATGAATACTCCCCAGAACATATGAAATATACTTTGTTTCAAAAGGAAGGAAGGAAAGAAAGTTCAAATATATTTCCAAACTCCAAGACACCCAAACATCACTCCAAATTAATCTGAAAGCTATGGCCTTTTCTCAATTGTGCTTACATCCGTCCTCTCCTCGACTCCTCCGTCCTCCTCTCCTCCCTGACCCGGAAACTGATAAGTGGTCACTGTAGGAGAGTATCAGTTTGTTAATAGGTGAACGAAGGAGTTTGCTCCTCTCCTTGACTGCCTCCTCCAGTGGAGGATACACAGATGTATCCTACCGCAGAAGAGTTTTGAAATCCGCCACACCCCCTTTGAATCAACTGTGGTTTTCTCGGAGGAGAAAAGCATGCACACATTTAAAAACGATACACTACTTATCCTTCTATCTATAAAATGTCTAGCACAACTAACTACATTTCTTTTGTATTTTGGGACCCTCCTCTGTAAACGTAATTTGCCTGATAACGTTAGTGGAGATTCTAATTTCATACGAGCACATTTGATTCCACGTTTCCTCTCCTCGCCTCCTCGCCTCGTCTCCTCATTTACCTTTTACCTTTTTCAAAAGGAGGCGAGGAGAGAACGGAGGATAGGACACAAGGAATAAGGGTTGGAAAATTCTATTAACTTTCCCAAAATTCACAGATTTTCCAGAAATCCTGGTTGGAGGATGCTGGATTTCCTTGCTTATTCCCTCACGATTCCGGGAATCTTCCAACCGGGATTTGTGGAAAACAAGGGAATTTAGGGAAAGTTACTGGAATTTTGCAACCCTACGAGAATCAAGTGAATCCAATTGAGATTCTCCCTAAACTAAGGTGTCTCTTGACTCAACACTTCTTTTGATCATAATGTTGATTGTTCTCCTACAGTCCTGTGATTGGATATTGTTTTTGGAGGATTTGACATATCCAAAGAATACCCTCAATTTTTTTTCATTCTTTGGGATTCTTCCATTATGCAATTTCTGTGAAAGTTTAGATTTAGATGTTTTACTTTTCTCTGAAAATATGGGATAATGGTATGACAGTTGATAGTTGAGTTTCCTTAAAATGTTGCCTACCACAAATGTTTGGACTCAGTCTCAATGGCTTCCAGGGGCCTTGGTTCCCCGCCTTTAAATGGATAGTTCACTTGTTGAATGCATCGCTAACTGATAGCTGATACAATCTGTTTCCACATTCTCCAAAAATGCTAGCCAGAAGATTATGGACATTGCTTTATAATCAGATAAGAAACTTTAGAAAATCCACCTGAATGTGAAGAAATTGGAAAATCATTTAAACATCTGTGGAGTTAAAGATCATCACCTTAATTATCAATCAACTATTATTCGTTTCGGTTTGTGAGTAACTGCTT